CATCATTCTTGCAATCCTCTTAACCATCATGTCTTGCTCTATTCCCACCCAGAGCACATGTTTTGGATGACAGTAGCCTAAAACAAAACATAGACCTCCCCTAAACATAAACGAAATCACATGACTAGTGTACACAAATCCATAATTAATCAAAAAGAGGGCTTGAATCAACAAAGAACTTCATTCACTAATAGCTCTTCTTCGTATACTAGCATAGAAGACTTTGTGTTTTATTTTTTTGACATGGTGGTTGAAGAGGGGCTCGGGCGGTGAGGAGATCATCAAAAGCAGCGAGCAAGCAAGCAATTCGAGAAAGTGAATAACATGAGCACGTCTTTCAATCTTGAAAGCTGCAATCAAAAACAAGATGATCATGTCATCGTCGTTGCCAAGGTGAATTGCAGATACAGTCCCAATTAGCTCCGACCTCGGACCCTTATTGAGAAGTTAATATCTAAGACAGAAGTCTGATCACTGAAGTAGGTATTTACCAGTTCATATTATCACAGATTCTTACCATCAGAACTTGCCAATTTCAATCTTGTAATTCTATATATGTGTGACAATAAGTTTTGAATCAATCAACGAAATCTTAGTTTCTATTCAAATTCACTTTCCTAGGACTGCATATGGATGGTGCAATGATCTTAGTATATATTCAAAGTTAGAGGTTACCTAGTTGATCAGCCACTCAAGTGCCATATTGACTTTCCAGCTAACGGGCGGCAATTAGTGGATGATGGTTCAGAGATGAATCCCTGCCCCCTGTGCAGACGTGCAACAAAAGTGTACATTCAGTCTCGATCAGGGAAAGAAAAAACATTAATGGCCCTTGTCTTGGTTTGCGACGTGCAACAAAGCAGATTTCTTAGTTTGATAATGCTGAAGGCAGGGAAAGTTCGATTATACTTTGAGCTAGTGGAACTTTATCCCAGAGCTCTGTCTGAGCTTGCGGCATGCAATATAGCTGATGTCTTGTGGTTTAGTTGGAGGATAGGAGGAAACTTGATTCTATTCATATCGTAATGGGTAGAAAAAGGGGATTTAGTCTATTTAGTTTGGAGCTAGTAGAAACCTTACATATCCCTACCCTAGATCCGATATGCAACAAAAGAGGTTTTTTGTTCAACTAACGTAAGTCATGGCGTAATGCGTCTAATGGCGTAATGCGTCTAATTGTGGGGGACCACCCCATCAAAAAAGCAACAATTCAACAATGGTCCGTCGAAAAAGTTTAAAAGTGCAGGAAATGGAATCTCGACTTTCTGAAGCAGTATTAGGAGTTCAAAATGGAAAGTATAAGTCTTTATATGAAGCTGCAAAAGAACTGGGGCTTTCTAAAGATACTGTGACGCGACGCGTCAAAGGGGGTTCATCGCGTTCTGAAGCACGTCAATCGCAACAGAAACTTTCTGCTGTACAAGAGAATGTACTTCTTAAGTGGATAAAGCAATTGACAATTAGCGGCTATTCACCAGGCCATCAGTTGTTAAAAGAATTGGCTGAGGAGTTACGTTCAAAACGGACTTATAATTTGGAATGCCCCTCATTTGACTCCCTTGAACTCCCACCACAACACCTTCTTGGTCATGAATGGGTTCCACGATTTATCAAACGACATCCTCATCTTACAGTTGTTATTGGCCGTCGAATTGAATCTGTAAGAATGGATGGTGCAACCAGGGAAACATGTAGTACTTGGTTTGACGCGTATCAAAAAGCGATTCAGGATTATGGAATTGAGAAGAAAGACGAATATAATATGGATGAATCTGGACATTCAATTGGGACAATGGAATCAACTCGAATTATTATCGATTCTACACTTCGTACAAAACATCAAGCACATCCAGGCCGTCAAGAGTGGATTTCAATGGTAGAGTGTATTTGTGCGGATGGATCCATTCTTCCACCACTCGGGATTTTTAAAGGTAAAAATGTCCTTCAAAATTGGATTCCGAAGGAAGTTCTTGGTAGCTGGTTCTTTTCAGCAAATACAAAGGGCTGGACAAGCAATCTTCATGGATTAGAATGGCTAAAACGCGTTTTCGAACCTGCAACTCGTGCAAAAGCAGGTGGCAAATATCGGCTTCTCATCTGCGATGGCCACGATTCTCATATTAGTGGAAGCTTTATAGCTCACTGCCTTCAAAATCGAATTGTACTTCTTATACTTCCTCCTCATACCTCGCATTTGCTTCAGCCACTTGATGTTGCGGTTTTCGGTCCATTGAAAAAACGGCTCACCGCAGCACTTTCTGATTTGAATCAAGCTCAACTTGTACGAATACAAAAGATTGAATGGATGGAGGCATATATTAAAGCTCGAGCCGACGTATGCCATCATCAAAATATCGAATCGGCATGGCGGGGAGCTGGGTTACATCCATTTAATCCACAGAGAGTGTTCCGTACACTGGGTCGAGAGTTTACCCCCGAAGTCGAAATATCCAAAGAACCAACCCAATTTGATATTTTTAACCAAGTCTTCGTCAATAGCTCACCCCCGGATGTAGCAATCTTACAAACAGCAAATAACCTTTTAAATTCAACAATTGAAAATGATACGACTCTTTCAACCCCGGTTCGTCAATACATTCGAAAATTGACGATTGGGAGTGAGCAACTTCGAGCTCAAAGTATTGTTCACCAACACGATGCGAATAATTTACGAGCTATTATTAAGAAACGTACGATACGTAAGAAAGGAAAGAGACTAGTTTTGAAGGGTCATTTTCATATTTCTACGCAAGAATTATGTGATGCAGTAGTGGAAGTCGAAAAAGCTACTAAGGTACAGACAATGAAAAAAGGAAAAGGGAAAGGGAAAGTAATTGAATATGAAACTGAAACTGAAGAGGATATTGGAGAAGAAGTTGAAGATGAATCTGAAAGTGATACTGGAGATTGTATTATAGTTGATTGTTGAGTAATTGAGATTTTAATAGAGTGGTTCCCCGCAATTAGACGCATTACGCCATTAGACGCATTACGCCATGACTTACGTTACTGGATTCGGAGAAGTCTCCCCGACCCTTACCCCCTGTGATGAACCTCATAGCCATCTTGCATTCATCTTTCAATACCAGGAACATTACTTCAGAGACCCCTGCTTAGACTTGAGATGTGCAACAATACTACTTTGACCTCTTTGATTGGAAGAAGTTTAAATTCAAGTGTGCCTGTTTAGAACGTTAGTGTGCAATAAGTCATTTTCCTGAAAGGGCTAGTCTTTTACTAGTAAGAGAAGACGATGTGAACATCATTGGAGTATAGATTGAAGTCAATCTGCCATGTGATACCTGTGTTCATATCTGGTTGTAACTCCAATCTTTACCACGTTTCTAGGACACGCAAAGGTTCAGGATTCCATGTTAACACTTGAAAGGCAAACAAGATGTTTCTTCATTTCATTCTATATCTCAAAAGATAGATACATTCATGACGATTGCAAACAAAGAGAAGAACTAGAATTATTATCAACTCACATTCAAGATGAACACTCAAAACCCAAACCAAATCCAGCAGAGTAATGTTCCGATATCTACAAATTACATCTATAATCTTTACCTCTCTCCCAAACTCAATTCGAAGATGAACTATAGAAATAGTATTCCCTCTCAATTGTCAAACAAACATAAACCACAAAATTCTAGGAAATGTTAGCCGAGAGAAGGTGCCCCACCCTAGCTTAGACATGCAACAAAAACCCCCATTCGAACAAGGACTGGGGTCAATTGGGTAGCATACTAACAATTTACTACAGTTTACAAAATGAGAATGGGTAATGATAGCCGAAGTCAATACCCCCTGTCCTGGTTGCAGATATGCAACAATACTTCACGGATTTTTATGATATGGTCTGTATGATGTACTGTAGAGGATGGTGGTTGTAAGGTGAGGTTGGATATATGACTGTGCAGCCATTTCCCTAAAGCTCATTGAAATAAGCAAACACTTCTTGTGACAGGGAACCGCTTGTTTCTTCATTGGTAAGATTCCTTGATTAACATCCAACCGAGTATTGTAAATCATAGAAAGAAACGCATCCTACATATATCACTACAACGAAATTATGAGATTTACACAAAAGGTTTCCGCAGAAGCTTTTCACGCGCCTGTCTAAGTAAAAAGATAGGGCTACATGGCTACGACTGACCGGTGCACATTTTTGCGTCGATTTACGCAGTTTTCTTGATGAGGATAAGAGAACTTGGAGCTCCATGTTGTTGGACGAAATAAGTAAGGAAAGTAACGAAAGTAACGAGGTTGAGAAACACGTAATGAGAGGTGCAAGATTGTGTTTTTACTTCTCTTGAATAAATCATGACTAAGTCGAGATATGCAACAGATATTCCCAATAGCCTTGGTCAGTACGGTGGATGTTATACCACACCCAAGCACCTTCATCTTGACTCCAAGACGGCACGATGAAGCCTTATTGCTTACGATATAGCGTCACAGACACAGATGAGGTGCCATACAATTCTTTGGGTAAAAATCTGAGTGGCATGCCGCATCCGAACAAATTTACAATCAATTATATAACATCCACAAATTCCAATCACGCCTCAGACCAGAACCTCTCCTAGCTCCCCTAGCTCTCTTAACTCCCCCATATCAGTAATCAAGACCCGAACCAACTGCAACCCATCCACCACTCAGAGCCCTCAAGAATCTAATGTTGCATATCTGAGATCTCAAATTGCAAGGGGGAGCCCTGACAAACTACAACAGAGGAAAGTCTAGTGCTAACCTATCTCTTTCGATACTCTGGGATATCCCACTACATTCGAACAAATATGGAGAAAACTTGAAGAGAGAGTAGTGCAAATCATAGATCGATTTAAAAAGAAGTTATCCATCCATCGAAACATATCTCTTACTTCGCAGACTTTGCACCCTCCCTTCTCAAACTACGGTCAACTGAGAACTAATATTCTTGTTAAACAAATTTACTGTCACAAGTACTGATCATGCTTTAGATCAAGGTTCAAAAGTAGTGGCAATGGTTTTTGTGTTGTCTACACTGTTTTTAATCTATGCTTGCTTGTAATGTATGCTGTCCTCCTCTGATTGTTCGCCTCACTCTCTTTCACGCCACATAGAGCTGTGCTGGCATAAAGCCAGCCGCATCATGTATTCCCCTAAAAGATAATCTATCCGCGAATCTGGTATTACCCCTCAGTTATACAGCTCTAATAACGCCATGCTGAAATCCGTGCCAACCTCAAATTTCTACCATCGCCCTCACTATTCAAACACCAAATCACTCGGGAAAACTGCAGAAATGTATACAAAGGTTACGCTGCTACCAATGCTCACGTAGGGCGCATCCATTCCCAAGGGTACCATTGAATAGAAAATTCATCTATTGCAGTCTTGAAGAATTCGAAGACGGGATGATCGTCCTCTAAAGGTGCAATATCGAGACCCTAACAGCAGGAATCAGTAGTGATCTCCATATATTACTTACTACGAGCTCAAGTCAAAGGTATTCCGAGTCTCTTTGGCCCAAGAATTTGGAGGATTTCTTGACCCATTATTTATGAGTTGAGTATACCGCGTGAAAAAGCCTGAAAAGTAGAAGAAAAAACTTACCGCATAATCTAATTCAATCAATTCCTTCTCAAATTCTGCGGAAATTTCTGCATCATTCAATTCCTCCTCTGAGTTATCCTCTTTGACTTTCTCATTCTTCGGATTTCCACGAATAAGCAGAATTTCAGTACCTTCCATAACCAAATGCTCCTGTACTAAGGATGTCCATAATAAGCCCCTAAATTCCTCTTGCAACCATTTCCAATAAAGACATGGTTTATCGATATCTGTACCTGATGCTTTTGGGTTCTTGACCCAGCATATGAATGGTCCTTTTATGCGAACGCCGAGACTCGAGAGGGAGGCAGAGCCTTTACTCCGTGAAGCGCTTGCAATGTGATATGCGAGATGAGACCCCTCACCGTTGTCTACGATTGCGTAGATACCACTTGCAGTAGCTATTCGGTCTGGATTTTCGATCACGCTAATTAACCATTCTGCTTGTTAGTTGTGCTCTTTTTATTTCAAAAATCAAAATTTGATGTCAGGCTAGTTGCGAGAACAAGGGTTGGAGAGCACAGATTGATTCAGGAATTGTGCAAGTTGTTCCCCGTAGCCAGCTTAGAGAGGTCAATAGAGGTGAAGGAAGAAGAAAACCTAAAAGACATAACTTATGTAGACATATATTCATCCAACTCGTCATTTGTAAGCATCACCTTCTCCACAACGCACATGACTTTATCACCCTTATTCTTTGGCCACCGTTTCTCCACCATAGTCAGAAGAGGCCCTTCGTAAAGACCGAGTTCTGGATCCTCGCCGATCCCCCAATCAAGACGAGGAAGTGGTAGCAACATAAAATGTGCTAGGTCCTTCTTTCCTTCAACTCTCCAAAAATGTATTACTCCCCTTTCGACAATAAAGTCACTTCCAATTATGAAATTTTCCATCTTTTCCTCTTCTGTCTGCCCAAAATAGGTGATAGGGATCGTTATATGACAGAAACCGTCATGGTAGTTTTCTGTTTCTTGGTCATCGGTTTTATCTTGCTTAGGACAGACTAAAACGCTGTTTTCATTCCGAGTTAGTTTGATTGTTGAGACTATTTTATTTCGATCGAACTACTCCCAATTACAAAAATTGACAGCAGATGAGCTAATGTTGCAGTGTCTCCGTCGTTCTTCCCTAACTCAATGCTGCCGTCTAGGAGTTGGAAGCTCGATAGGAGTGAATGAAACTTACCAACGAGGTTTCTCATTTTTCTTTAAACAGGCATTCGTTCCGTTTGAACTGCCTTTATGATTTCGATCGGCATTTGAATGCGTTATATCATCATCATTGCCGGTCGGTGAAGCATTGAACACATTGCTGCACGCTGCAACACCGTCTTGCATACCACGTTCGGAATCCTCAGGTTGAACCTTTCTCTTCTTCCGAGAGTGGTCTTTTGCGTCTGAAGTGTCCGATGAGGTATCCTTTAGGAACTCTCTTTTCGCTCTTGAATAATCGACGACATGCCCGAGGACATCTGTCTGTGATAGGTTAACGCTCCCCGCTTCCGGCTTCTGGTGATCGTCCATCTTTTTTCTCAATCAAAAGCCTGTATTCCTTCTTGAGTCTCTCGTAATTCTGACAGTCTTCGTTCGGTAAATGAGATGCTTTGGCACCACTCTTCTGTTCGATGAAAAAAATTTGCTCTTTGGGTAATGTTATTGGGATGTTTTTGTTTGCTTGAATTATGAGAACGAAATTGTCTTATTGTGTCTGACTTCTCTCTTCATTCCTTCCTAGGCGTGTTGGCTGTGATTCGCTCTCGGATTGAGATGTTCGATCGTCAATAACACGTTGATTGCGACTGCCATTCTGGTCTCGTCGAAAGATCTTAAGACTTAAATTTGCATTTAAGCCAAAATAAACAAAGACACATTGTTTAATAGATAAAAATCTGTAGGTATTAGAATTGGGAGGATTGGAGACGTGAATTTCTTAGGGATTTGTGAATGTAGTCGAGATCTGGCTGTTGATTCTAATGGCCGCGTTTGATAAAAGGGGGAGCTCCTGTGATTAAAATGACGTGTGCACTGTGAACTCGTGACTTCTTAACTTGAAGCATGCAGCCTTTCTATTGTTGTCAAGCGATTTCCATTACTGGAAACACATTGAGACGCTCAAAATGGTGATCTGACGACTTTAATTGGCATGCATTATAAGTAGTTTGACCATTGAAGCAACGCAATGCGGACTTCGGCATTTGTATCATGTGAAACCACAACTTCTCACATCTTGATCGTTATTATCTACTTAGACTTCTCTCTGCCATCAAATCCATGCAAAATCGACCTTGACTTCCTTAAATAACCCTGAACATATTGCTCTTCACTCCCCTGCCAAATCCATCAGTCACCGGCTTTCCTCCTTCATATGAAACCCCAGCTGCACCCTCTCTTCCTTCCATCTTTGCCCTCAACTCTTCATCCATTTCCGTAATTGTCTTTCTCTTCTTCTCGGCTTTCTCTCCATAGTTTCCATCTACCTCCTTTCCCGCCACTTCAGTTGATCTCTCAATCTTTTGCCCCTCTGCATCTTTCACTGCTATCTTCTCCTCCGTAGGCACTTTCGGACTGGACTCTGAAGTTACATCATTATGATATTCTCTAGATATAGAAATCGAAGCCAGGGTGCCACGGATTGGCGGCCTCGCGTGCTTTGAACCTTTAGGTAGAAGAATTGCTGAACGCGAGATTGGTGTCGCACCACTGATGATGTTTCTAGCGAACATGATGATAAGATGATTCTCGAGGATTGGACAAGAAGATATTTACTTGAGCTTTTCAATCAATTGAGATAAAACAGAATATACAATTCTTGAGAGTCATTCTTGATGAAGGATTCTTGCGCTCTTCTTAAGTCCCTTACAAACGCCCAAAGAATTACATCATCGCTTACGCGTGACTGCCACGTGATCAGCTGATACTCTCCTCACTTCCTCGGTCTTTCTCCTCACAACTTTGCTGTAATGAACAGGTTGATTCGTGAATTATTTCAATCAGGCTGCTGGATCCCTATCAAGAGTTTATAGTTTTATATTTTTGAAATCAATAACATCAAAAACACCAAATACATGACATCGACAGACCAAATTATTATCATACAGCAGTTTCCCCTAGGGCATAAACATCTACACGACTAAAATCAAAAACAACAATTTATTTTCAAGAAACCAAGAGCACAGATATTGATACTTCTCCTTGAGAGTATAGTACATAGAACTTTGTAATCCTTTATGTACAATGTACAGAGTAATCGTTGAGTATATAATCCGACTCCAATCCCATCTGGAATCTCCTTTCGCTATGGTATCTACCGTCTAATATGCAAGACCAAATCAAACTCCAAACCAAAATACCATGAAAAGAGGTCCAGTCAACCCTACCCCATCCCATCGCCCAAAAACGCCTCCCATTTTCTTCAGCTTCTCTCAAGCCAACTCATCCTCCTCTCCCGCTTCATCGACCTCCTCCCCACTCCCCTCGATACTTTCCATCAAGCTCTCTTCACCACTAACTCCGCTCACATCACTAACCGCATATCCATATCCCTCTACAAACCCCTCTTCCCTCACACACTTCTCCAAACTCAATCCTTCTTTCTCTACCCACTTGCGGATTTTTTCTTTATCTACTTTGACTTTATATTTTTTCCCCGCTTTCTCAATTCTTCCTCCTAGTATACTTGCACTTGTTTTCCCCGATTTCTCTCTGTTTGAGCCTCCGACTGTTTCAAGTACGCCCATTGATCTGAGGACGCCAAGAACATCGTCTACTGCTATCCATGTGCTTTTACTAATAGCTTCCACGGTAGTCGCGCCGCAGGTATCTTCCATGGGCGGTGTTATGGGCAATTTTGGAGCCGGTTTTGTTGATTTTGGTGTTAATTTGGGTGCTGGTCCTGGAACTTCCTTCGATTGAGAGGAAGATTGAGACAGAGATTGAGGTTGCATGCCTACACCCTTCATACCCTTCCTCCAACCCTTTCCCATTCCTTTTCCCGATGGTTTCTTCACCGGTGGTTTCTTTTCCACTTTAATAACCTCAAGATCAAGCTCCTCTTCCTCATCCACCAACTCGTTTTCTTCCATCAATGTATCCACACCAACTTCACATTCCAGCAACCACCTCGCTACCTCTGCCCCCCAAAACCTCCCATACCCCTTCTTCCCTAACTCACTAATTGGTTTCTCCGGTCCTCCAAGCAGTCCTTCTCTCCTACTGATTTCGTAACTCGTGCCTATTAGAATACTCCCCAGTCCTTTCTTTTGCCATGGAGGAAAAACAAGAATACAAGCTAGATTATTATTATCCCATGACATCTTCTCCTTTGAGAAGAACCCTACGATTTGTTGTTCTTTCGTACCGAGATTGGTGTGAACGAGAAGGAAATAATTAAACGACTGCACATCGTAGAGCACTGATTTGTTATCCAGGAAGAGTTTGGCGAAGAGAGACAGGGATTGCGAGAATGTCTTTGGGGCGATATTAGTAGGGAATCCTCGAATGATGTCGGTGTAGAAGTGCAATCAGGACAACCAGGAGGAAAAGAAGAAAACTTACACCCTCAACCTCCCCATCCACCTCCCAAACACTCCATTCCCCGTTTTCATCATGTTCATAAACACAGTTTCCTGGCACTCTTCCTTTACGCTCACAACATTCTCTATGTTTCAACATTTCTCCCCCATGGACCGTATATCCAAAGCACCAATTGCAGACAAACAATCTGTCAACCTGCAAGCCTTTCGGTCCTCTCGAATCTCTTTCTCCCCCTTTCCCACTTTTACCACTCTTTCCACTTTTTCCACTTTTACCACTCTTACTGATTTTTCCACTCCCTTGACTAACACTCTGAGAATGATTTTCTATCATTCCATTTCCGATGACATCGCGGGTATAGAAACTCGAATACCAACTCTTGAAGCATAAATTTCCAAAAACAACTTCATCGATGTTTCTTTCCCTTTTTTCATCCTTTTCTTCATCATTCTCTTTCTCATCAAGATTCTTCACCATCTCCATCTCCGTCCCAGTACTTCCACCACTTCTATTAACAGAAGGTAAACTTCTTCCTCCAACATTGATCTCGGCCGAATTTCCATGGTGTTCATTATCGCCCGCCTCAGCAGGAGGTGAAGGCAACGAATTCTCCATGCTGACCGTAACATCTCTTTCTCTGGTTCTTTCCCTTGGTGTTTCTCTCTCTCCAGCCCCGGTAACAGTAATCGAACCATGAACCCGACTCGTTGTGCTGATTCTTCTGCGTTTGGGTGTATTTGTATCCTCTTGATCTTGGGCAGAACTCATTGGACCGATTTTGATTGCAGTTGTTCCGTTTGTTCCATTCGCCATGTTTTCACCATTCATGGTATTTCCATCCTCGCCCCCCTCTCCCTGTCCCTCCCCCTCACCCTCGACATCGCGTGCGCGTTTCTTTCCTTGCGGGTGCGGACTTCTCGTAATACCAAATTCCGCCAATCCCCTCTGTCTTTTTTCTCCAGAACCAGTACTTGTTCTTCCTCCACTAACTCTCCTACTACCCTCAATTTCAACACCATCCTTATCGACCATCATTGTAGTCGTAGCTGTCGTCGTGGTTCGTACCGTAATTGTATTTGGTGAACTATTTGCATTTGTATTTGAACTTGGATCTGCATTTGTGTTTGGATGTGAATGTGTATCGCGTGAGCTTGCTCTATACGAGCGCTTTCGGAGGGTTCGTGGTGGCATCGTATCGTACTTTTTCCGATATGTGGTTGAGATGGGGGGTTAATAGCTCAGAGCGCCCCTGGTGGTAAGGTAAGATTGTGAAATCCACCACACTCAAAATTGTTAATTGATTTCGAAATTTGGAAATTGAGATGTGATTGAATCACAATATTGAAAGTAAATCGTAATTGTAGAACGCAACTCCCGCTGTGATTGCGTGGAAATCTCGTCGCTGTTGCCGTCCTTGCAATGAGTTGAATCGCAATTCTTCTTGTGGTGTAATTTGGTAGAAACTCCTGTTTGTTCTCTCCAGCAGATTAATTGTCGCAAATCTGAGATAATCGAACTTCTTTGCAGTTCTAATCAGCACCGTCAATTAGTACGTGCTGTGTCAATGTTTTGTTTGTTTTGTTTGTGACGAGATAGATTTGTATTGGTAGACTGTGAAGGTTGTAATGTAATGTTCAAGTTGCTGATTACAGCTGCACTTATTACAGTTATTGCGAGAAAATTAAAACTTTCGACCCTTTTCCTGCTACCGTATCATTTCCTAGCGGGTACGAATGAAATCCTCTCTTCCTCTTCCTTCGTTCCCAATTCCCCTTACTACAAGTGAATTATTCACTTTGGAAAATTTCCCAGATTCATTGATCGCGTCGAAGTTGCTTTAAGAATGTTTACATCACCGTACCGCGACAAGGCTTCGGTATCCACAAGGCTCTCCAGCAGATGCTGCAAGGCTACCATATATATTTTATCCACCCACATCCGCACCCACATACCTTGTCCAGTCCAGTCCAAAGCTCTGCATATCACCATGCAATAGTTGCTAAACACATCGCACATCATCGTCATCACAGTAACCACAAATTGTTAACAGTAGCTCTCTCTCAACAAAATATATATCGCATCAAAAAGATTGTCATTGTACAAAAATAACACTTCTAATCATTAAACCTCGGCCAGCATCTGCATAGATCTTGTACGTCCCAAATGCGTCGCCTCGCATGCAAATAAAGTTCAGTCAAGGTGTAAAAAGTAGAAGAAAAAAAAACTAATGTAGCAGTGGGAATTTCCTTCGTTTCATGGTCCAATTTCCAACCTCCAGCCATCTATATGTCGAAGGTTGTAATCATCTCAATTCTTTGAAAGAAATCCCAGATTGGGAACGAGGTATTAGTAGCAAAACAAGTTCTGGTAGAAGTGTATGAAGTGCCACCAAACCAATTCTCTCCCCTCCCTCCACCATCTCATGCTACAAGTTGCATTCGCATTCGGGTTTGTATACATCTTCGAAAGCCTTCCATTCCACTCCCCAAGTCTCATCTTACATGCCTTCGAAGTCTCCGCCAAGGTCATCTTCATCCAAATCACCATCTTGAATTTCCTTTGCCATTTCGCGTTCACGTTCTCTTGCTTCTTGAGCATTCTTGAGTTCCAATCGATGTTGATTCATTGGGAATCTCATAGCCTGTGGTTATACAAGTTAGTCTGTAATATATGAAACAGTATGATAAGAGAACAAAACATACCTTGACACTCTCATCATGAAGAGCAAGACAAGCACGAATACGATCATGGAATGCTTCACCAGGCTCCCTAGTAGCATAAACATCTCCAACTTCCTTACTCTTCATGAATCCCTTCTCACGATCTAAAGTTGCCTCAATGACACCATCACGAATTGCCTTTGCAACGATATATTCTGCAGATTCCTCACTGTTAAGCTTCAGGCGTATACAGATATCTCGAAGAGAGATCCTTGAGTAGGACAAGGACATCATGCGAATACCAGTTTTGATGACGTTTTGTCGTAGACGAAGGATCAAGGTATAAGTGCCATCCCGTCTAAAAGTCTCCGCATGTTGAGTAATCACAGCCTCGAATTCTGCAATCAACCCTACTCGAACTGCTTGGACGAGGTTAAGATATGGTTGTAAAGCACGCTCTAGACTGGCAATCCTGAATGTTGCACGGTCAGGAATATCTCCCATCAACAACTCAACCACAAGAAGTAACTTCGTCGCAGTTTGTGAGAATCCTGCGGCACTTGGACTCGAAGGAGCTTTGCGAGTCGCGGCTGTCAAATGTTCATGAGCCTCAGTGTATCTTAATTGAATGGCCCTGATTCGTCCCAAGTAGTATAAGTATCTTGCAACTTGGTTGTTCGAGGCGCTTTCGGGAAATTTGGTATGCGAGATGAGGAGATCCGCTTGAGTGATGTGGGAAGTTGATAGATAATTTCGTAACAGAAGCACGATAACAGTTGATTGAGTATCGATATCTTTTCGTAGAACAGCAGTCCGTAAGCCAGAGAGAAGAGCTGGCCGAATGGCAACAATTGGGGAAGCTGGAGAAGGTGGAAGTGGTGCCAATTGCTCAGCGAACAAAGACCAGTAAAAGTACACGCGAGCGGAGAGAGAATCCAGGGTTCGGCGGTTGAGTCCATGAATGACTGTTGTGACATGTTTGGAAAGTGTGAAGCCCTTCTCGTTCATCTTATTGTCGAGGAAGAAGATTTGTACGAGAATGCTGAGGAAAATATCAATCTCCGGAATGATTTCTTTTGGTTCCTTCTTCCCGTTTTTGGCAGATTTTGACTCAGAGTCGATTTCCATCTCACTTGGTGATGCCTTGTTAAATGTGGCATTCTCTCTGTCAATACCTATGAGTAAAGCCTTTGCTTGTTGGGTTGCTGTAGAGTAAGTTTCCGTAATAACTTGCGCCAGAATATCAGCCGTAAGATGTTTTCGAATAGAGGAAATAGATCTGAGGGCTCGGAGTGTGTATCTAGCATCAAACAAAGCAACAGCTTTCTCTAATAATGGGAAATTGCTCTTGATATCTGCGAAAAGGAGTGAAATGTTAGGTTTTGCTGATGGATAGAAACTGATATATGTTGGGTGATTGCTCGACTTACCTGCAACAGCCTTGGCCACCGGATCAACCTTCTCAACACCTGCACCTTCTTCACCCTCCGCAGAGCCATCCATAGCTACATCTCCATCACCATCTTTCGGAGGGGGAGCTGATAATTTAGAACTCTTTGATGGTGGTACGACAACTGTCATCTCCTCCTCGCCTTCCTTGGTCTTCTTTCCCTTTCCACCTTTCAATGAGCTCTTTGCATCATCCTTCTTCGTACCGTTGATACCATTCTCGACTGGATCTGTACCCTTCTTGTATGGTGTTTTACCAGGCATAACTGCGAAAGAAAGAGTATATTTGAAGGTTGACGTCGCCCTTTTGTAAACCTAGACTGGTGGGTGGTATAGCTAAAGTACTTTTCTTCAAGTCGCGTTGATTGATTTTAAAAGTGATATAATCGTTCTCTTGTTCACAGAATATCTCTCTGTGAAAATAAAGTATCACCGGAGTTTGAAAGGGTTCCTGATTAAAAAGGGTGTTATGTAGTTGAGTTGTTAACGGTTGTTGTAGCTGTCGTTCACATCTTGGATTACCTTTACAACATCAAAGCTCAAGATTATTACGGCTACAATTAGCGACCTTTGATGCTGTTTTAACGCGAGTCATCGGGTGCCTGGGGAGCTGGGCGACTGCAAGCTGGCGAAGGAACCTGCAAGCCAGCTAATGTGGAACACCGAAAAATGGCTTTTTAATAAGCAAGATGCATCATTGAAGAACTTTGTTGTGCTATTAGGGTTAAGTGATTATTTATAATTACTACCGTACATATCAATTGCCAATTTTTCTCAATGAAAACTTCACAATAATTTCGACGACAAACCCATCAACCCACCCATCCTAATATCAAACCAAGATCCTAATCTCGTATCATCCGCCAACCTAAAGCACGAGATCATATCTGGATCATGTGTTAACACAGAACATCACTCGGGTCCTTGGCAAGATGAGGCTGAACAAGGACTATAGATTGGTGTAGTGATTTCAGAGAATGCTCTCGCCAGGATAGATCAATTAATACTCGGTAGGCAGAGATGGAGAACGTGACAATTCCCATGTAGAAGCCGTCGCAAAAAGATTTGACCAAAATTCTGCAATCAAAGCCAGTGGTTGAGGACGGCGATAGATTCATTATCGAACGTCACATTACCATCGCAGACACCACATCATAGCGAACTTGTATTAAGATTAATGAATTGTTATGATATTTAGGTTGTACCTTGGTACCTATCTTAGAAGACCGACACATACCCAGAGAGAATACAGATGATGCTTTCAAAACATCATAATACCACTCCTCCAACGCCAACGACAGTCCATGCCATATGCACATCAATCTAAGATCAGATAGCCTAACACCAATTATCATTCATCCCATGCCCTGATAGTATAGTGACCCCTAAGAAATTTATTCCGATTCGTATCCATCATCATATTCCTTGTCGTCAATTTGAATAATCATTGAAGTGATGTAGACATGTCGGACATCCCGGATCGATTAAAAACAACGCCTTCTGAAACCATGGACAATACTTTTAATCACTACCCTTTCCACCTGTGACCTTTGCAGCTTGAACGGCGCTCATCTTATTGATCCATCCAGAACTTGGTGCGATCTTCCGGACGGTTCGAATCTCATCACTGGCGTAACCTGGGATTCGAATATTGTAACCGCGCTCGAGAGTAAGTTGAATATCACGGATTTCCAAAATTTTCGAGCCACGTTCCTTGGCATTCTTACACGCGGCTTGAAGGACTTGATCGACGAAGTTGTCGGCAACTGTAAGAATGGACTGTGAGATCGTGTTAGTTTGTATGGACTTTAGCTCTTTCATAGGCATGGAGTATTATATGTCCGCGACAGGGGTAATAAGGACGAGCTTGCAAATCAACGTAATGGGAATACAGGGAAAATTTCATACCTCTTCAACTTCAGCGGTCAGACCGCCACCTGCAATGTTCTCTCCACCGCCGGTAACTTGTCTAACAAGCTCATCTAATTTTTTCTTACTCAAAACGCGGTCACCTTCGCCATCCAAAACATAACCTGGAGTCTTGGCAATAACTGGTTGACCCATGACTCCGTTACCAGCACCTGATGGACCACCAGTAAATGAAGGACGTGATTGACCCATTTGGACAGGTTGTGGGGGTGCGATTGCTCTTTCTGGCAAATGTTTTGGAATCGGAAGTTTTGTTGAACTTGGATTTTGTTGTTCCCTGGGCATAGTATTAGGGTGAGTATGCGAGTGACCCATGACCGTATTAGGTGTGGTCGTTTGACCGCCTGCGCTGGAATAACTTTGAGCCGCAGTTTGCAATGCCGCTTGATGGGTTAAAGCTCTTGGGGGTCCAGGTGGGTGTGGTGCACTAATTGAGTTTGCTGACTGAGGAATGGCCGATTGAGGAGAATTTGTTTGACCCGGACGTTGCTGGTTATTTTGCATTTGAGTAATGGCAGTGTTGATTGGACCTGGCATTGTTGGCTCGGTTTTAATACTTTGCGCTTGCCCAGGTTGAGATTGAGGCATAGTTGGATGCGAAGGTGCGTTTGGCGTAGGAATTTGTGGACCTTGTAATGGCTGTCCTTGTGCCCCAGGAGGTCGATTACCACCACCCATTTGTTGGTTACGAGCTTGTTCAATGGCAGCATTGACGGTCTGAGTATTCTGTAGCGCTGGGTTTGGTGGCTGCTGCACATTCATAGGTGGCCTGGGTGCTCCTTGTGTTTGATTCATTTGGGTGGTACCTTGAGCTCCTTGGTTACCCTGGCTTGTAGTAACATCTGCATTTCCATTCACGTTTGTATTGGATGATCCAGGTGCAAGAGCTTGTGATTGTTGAGGATGCTGAGTTTGACCTTGCTGAGCGTTTCCTGTTGCGAGACGTTTCTGACCCTCTCTAATGTCATCCACGAATTTCTTGGCCATATGATGTTGTTTTTTAACCTCTGCTAATCTCGTCTGGTGGTCTGCTTCATCTTGTTCCGTTGCAGTTCCTTCTTCTCTTTTCTTTCTAATATAATCTTCCATACCCTTCGCCTGCACATTTGACTTTTCCATCTGCATCAAGCCCTTTGCATACTTGTTCTTCATATCTGCCATCCATTTGGTCCATTCTGGTGATTGCGGGATTAGGTGTTGTGGGGCATGCCACGGAAATGTTCTGACGTGCTGCAGAATCTTCTCTGGCATTTGAGCAGCAATTTGAGGCCTTGCTTGCTGTTGGGAAGAAGTCCCAACATTGAGCCCAGTAGCTTGATTATCCTGTGACTGTGTGGTTTGTTCCTGCTGTTGTGGGGCCGGCTCTTGTTGAGGTGCTTCATTCGATGGAGTTGTTGTGGGTTGTGGTGCTTGTTGTGCCTGTGGGCTTCGCTGATTCTGTTGCTGAGTCTGCTGTTGATTCTGTTGAACCTGCTGAGCTTGAACCTGGTTTTGCTGATTCTGCTGATTCTGCTGGGCCTGTACCTGGCGCTGCTGTTGCTGTGTGCGATATTGCAATATCCTGGATTGGACTGACTTCGAAAACTCAATCAATTTCCGCTTGGCCTCTTGATGTGCCGATGATTCAAGAGGATTATTTTCAACGTGTGACCAAAGTCCTTTTAATCCCTGTTCCCATTTCTGTTTCTCCTCTTCTGTAAAAATATTCGCAGGTAGTTGGCGCATCATTTCGGGCTTAAATAATGTCTGTGGTCGAGCAGGTTGCGAACCCCCAGGCTGACCCTGGTTTGGAAGGATATTATTCATGTTGCTAGATGTTGACAAATGATTTTGATGGTGACACTAAGGGCCGTCTATATTGATTAATATTCTATGTGTTCTTATGTGAAAGGTCGTCAAACATCTGATAAATTCAAATTTTGGTTGTTATGTGATGAGGTAAGGTAGATGTTGTAGATGGATTTATAGATCCCACTCGAAGCGCTAATAGATATCGTCCAAGCGCCAGTCTAGGAAGTCTTTTGCCAGTACACATTTATTAAGCCTTGCACCAACCAGAGCCAGCCTATATACTTGCCTATGGGGAGCATTAGATGGACATCTACAATGTAGGTACATATTAAAACTTCTTGGAGACACTTTGCATTGGTTCATCGATCAACTCATCATGGGTAAAAATTTCTGTCATTGAATTAACCAATGCTTGCTGCCCCTTGTATTTTGTATTCGCCATTGTCAACTACAATAAGGTTATTCCACTGACTTACTTTTCGTTCTTTCTTCAAGTTCCTCAAACTGTGGTGGCATGAGGATTATTATTAGATCGCGTCCTCAACGAGTCTGTCGGAATTGGAAATCATATCAGATGCCCCTATTGATCCAAAGAGACCGACAGTGTCAACTCATCATCAAATACGTATATATAGGTACTTCCCGTAAAGACTTCCTTCTGTTGTGTAACTTATCTCGGGTGCAAATTTAAATATCTAAGATCTCCAACGAAGTCTTTGACTACTTTTGTCATACTGTTCTGGACGAGAAGCCAGATATTGAGTATTGTTCAACTAATCACTGTCAAATTGAACATGGCAGGTTTGTGGTAACGATATCTCCAGACATGGGCATCAATATCAATAGTCAATTTCCTTAGATGTGTAGACGATACAGAGTTCATGATCTGAACTTCTACTTCAGCGTCAGATCCCAGATCATCAAGACATCTATATCTCAATTCAGAAACGTGCCATAGCCTCAGATTCTTATATCAATAAAAGGTATATCTATTTGTATTCTCCGATATCTTTTCCTATGATCGTTTCATGCTCTCCCCCGCCCAGTCTATAAAACAAACCCCGAAACCATGAGTTCCAATCCAAATTCCCGGGCTCTATTGGCCGCTACTGCTATCCTTACATCCGCTATGCAATGCTATGTTTGATGTGAATGAATAATGGACCAAACATAAGAAGAATCCACCTAGTGATAAGTCTCTCGCTCAGAATGTAGAAAATAATATGCCGCCGTCATATGTATCATGCCTGCATGCAATGAAATGTCGCCTTGTTCATAATTCATTAATTCGTCACCCCCTCTTGATATCCATACCCGCCGATCTGCACACATTCATCATCTTTCACCAAAGAATGTTTGTGTCTCTGAAGTCGCATTACTCTCAAGAAGAAGAGTCGACATCCATAGATTCATCCAATACGTAGTATGGCAACTCTCTTAGATCATCCAATTCTGTATCATCTTCAAGGACTTCCTCGCAACTATCTGGTTCTTCCAATTCTGGAATCCGGGGCGGTGGATCATCAAATACAAGACTTGCCCTTTTGTCCCCCCCATGATTGAATGTTTTCCTTCTTAGTCTTCTAGCACTAGATCCCGCCTCATTTGCGCTTATATGATCTGGCTTTAAATCCTCATCGTCAGTATCGCTCCCGATACTTTGCGCAATTGATCGCTTTTGTACAGTAGCTGAGCTGCGGCGTCGACGACGACGTTCTTCCCGATTACGCTGTACATAAGCTTCATGCTCATCCAATGGCGAGCCATCTTGTTCATCATTGTTAAAAGCGTCTGTGCAGTCGTGTGCAGTAAGATCGCGTAGATCACTGATGAAATGTGGATCGAGCTCGGCTGGTGTAGATATAGGCGCAACATATCCTCCATCAGACTCAGCGTCTTCGTATTGGTGGGGTCGTATTATAAGTTCCTCGTCGCAATCGTAGCCCTCGAGGTCGCTGTCTGTTATTTCTTCCAATGTAAAATTGCCCTTTTCCACTACCCTTGATTGCCTGTGGATAGGCGATGAAAGTGGTGATTGCGCGCGTTGGGAACTCTCTGATCGCGGCGGACTTGCGCTGCCCGAGGATTCGGACGAGGGAGAAGTAGATCGTGGAGATAAGTCTTCGACTCGACTGTAGCTAAAGTGAGGGCCTGGACCATTGGGTATAATCCCATTTGTTTTAGGTGAGGGACGAGGAAAGTTCATTGATGGTCGTTGAGGTACGAAGGTAAAGGTGGAATTAGTCGGGGTCTCAGGTGGTGATGAAGGGCCGGCACTTTGAGCGAAACTGAAATTGGGAGTCGTAGGCCGCATGTTTGACAGTTTGACAGGTGCGATTTTGCGATTCCTCAAGTAGACTAAAGCAATCAATTTTTTGTGTTCTGCGCGTGAAAGATGTGTGTTGCGATTGAGGTCAAGGTGTAAGAACTGGTGGAGAATCTCTCCTGGCAGGAGAAGGAAGATCTGGAGGGTCACAGTTCATGATAATCTCGAGATGAGCTTGGGGTGCCAAGAAGCCTCGCAGTTACGGATTCGAGGCTATCGTCAACCGTCAAAAGGGGACAAGTCCGGTCTCAGAGCTGGTTAACGAGGGACCTGAGGGACAAGTTCCTGGTTGAAGATACAAGGGTCAGCGTGACTTGTAGATCTAAGTAAACAAGGCGACCAATGATTAGCATCGAATTCAATTATAAAAATAAATTGAATGTGGGTCGATTGAACTGAGACCGTCAGGTATATATTAGATATATGAAAAGGGGACCAAACTTGTTTCGAAATGTTGAGGATGAGGCTTTCGAAGAATGTATATATCAGAAAAGACCAAAAAATAATACAAGTTTTTCCGAGAGAAAAAAGTGCGTCTTGCGGGAAGCCAAAAGAATATTCTTATGCGTTTTTTGTCTCCACACTTATTAAATGATGCCGTAGATCAATACCCTGAAGAAGAGGTGTTCTGGTAACCAGTTGGGAGCGTTGGAGGGGTGGGAGAAAAAAAGTTTGACCCGAATATTCGGGTAAACCTCGAATTGAAAGAAGTTGGATGAAAGAGGAAGAAAGTAGGTAAACCAGCCAACAACTTTCAAAGCAAGATAAGAGATATATGGACAATGGACCCGTTGGTGGCATAAATCAGCCTATAGGTATTGGGCAGAAATCACCAAGGGATAAGCTTATTTACCAATGGACGAAAGAAGAGAAGAGATTAATGACGAGTTACTTTTTCTTGCGTGCTCTAGTTTATGGTTGTATCGGTAGATAAATGAGTAGTGGGCGGCGAGTCGTCAATCGTCAATGCCGCCAATCGATCATTGATGATGCACTGTGCGGTCAGTTGGTTGGATTGTATGAATATGTGGAATATGTATATGTATGGTGGCTCCTTGTGGAAGTTTATATTGGATGGAAAGATGGATTAGATGGCAATTTTCGATGATTTCCAAGCATGAAAAGCGAATTCCCCTCTCGTGTAAAATGTTCGAGACGAGACTCACTTCGAATCCTCAAGAAAGGGGAACGGCTTTATCCTATCCTATCCTACCATGGCTTTCGTACCCTCCAAGGTAAGAAAGAAATAACGGTGTTGCGATGTATGTGTTGTCAGTAACTCCAAATTGATAAATAAGCAACAAGCAGCGTGAAGAGATGAACGGGGGAAAAAGCAACCAAAGTTGAGCAATAATCAAAGTTGGAGAACAAGAAAAAGAAATCTGGAAGAGAAAGATTGACGATAGGGTTTATGGAAGACGAAAATTATCAAGGGTAGATAATATGCAAACAATGCATCTCTCATGCTTGAACCATCATATATCTACCAATTGCAATTGTAGATTCAAATTAAAGCAGAGGATGCGTTCTTCGGATCAATCGAAACTTTCTAAGAGAAGATAAAGGCAGGAGAGAGAGAACGTATAGGTATGTATGCCGGTATGGGAGACAAGAAAGATACAAATACAATGGGAATACATCATGTTGCCGTGGAAGACGCAAAAGATTTGCATTGAGCAAGGGAGGAAAAGTCAAGATGTGATTCGTGATTGTAGAAGAGAGCTGCATATCATGTGACTGTATTGAACCAGTTAGTCTCCGCTTCCTCCACCATTCAGATGATTATCTAATCCAGCATCGGGATTTGTTGTTGTCTGAATACCCTTGCCGATAATTATAAAGTACCTAGTCATTGTAAATAATCGATCGTACAACCACGCGAAAATACACAACCTTAGACTTCTACAATGTCTTTACTAGAAAGACATCTGGAACAGATTGCTCTCTCGGCGGATTCAATAGCGTCATTGCCGTAAGTAACTGCTCCTCTCGCTCAAACCAATTCGAGCTACTAACCCCACTACCACAGCTTTCCCCCTCCTCAGATCTTTACCAATGCTCTTCTCTCCAATCAAGACATTACAGCCCTAATTCGCGACACTGAACCTCATGAACGCGCCCTCTTTTCTGTTCCTCCACCCCCACCACCTCCAACCCAAATAGCTCCCGAGCCCAAACCATCAAAGTCCCGCCGCCAAACAGTCTTCAATGTAACATCCGGCGAAGTAGCTCCTGCATCAGGTCCTAACGGTCGAGCACCTCGGCGAAATACTGCTGTTGCCGCTGTGCTTGGCGCAGAATTGCATTCTCAGGTTCGCAAAACAGAGACTGGGAAGGGGGAAATTGATATCGAGGTTTTATTGAAGGGGGCGGAGAAATTGAATGGGGTGTATCCTGTACAAGGGGTTCCAGAGAGGATAAGAGGATTAAGAAGTAGGTATGCGCAACTAAGGGAGAGCGTGAAGCGACACGAACAGAAGGTGCAGAAACAAACGAGAGAACTGGAGAGGATGAATAGGGGGAATGACACTGAGAGTGGTGAGGAGGACAATCAGCAGGTGAACGAAGAACCGTCGGAGATAGAGATCACGGATGAAGATTTGAGGAGAGAGGAGAGGGAGGTCAGGGAGCTGGAAATGAAGAGGAAGGCATTAGAAGAGAGAGTAACCGGGATGGAAAGAGATCTAGGAGGATTACTGAGATGAGCTCCCACGTACTGATTCTGAGCATGGTGGGATGAGTATCTCCATTTGACTTCACGATTTATGAGGCTGTATATTTTTTGATACCCGGATTATGGAGTTATTGTCATATTTGCTTCCATTCGTGATACCTCCGAATGTTTGTTTGTGTTTTTCGATTTTGCTTTCAAGTCGGATACTGGTAGTGGATCGCCCGTTACGGAAGAGTTCTATCCCTTGAAGAGAGATCCTGGAACAAAAACGTGGCCATCAGTTCCTCTTTAATTCTAATCTGGCTTGACTAAGATTGAACTTCTATGATGTGGTCGCATGCTTCAGATTATGCCACATTACATTCATGATCTTCAACACAAAACACACTTACCCACAAGCCAGTCAGCTCTATGTCTTCGTCTACTTTGATCAGCAGAGATGTAAAAGAATCGAGTATGTATCTCCTGACACGCACACTGGAAATGGTTTCTACCTGGTCTTCATATTTTCCTCGTGTTTTCTTGCTATCCCACTATCCGATGCCACCTTGTCTCGTGTACGTCGCTTCACTTTTCTACATACTTCCGCAAGCTCCATTAAAATTCTCATTGATTGCTGACAGTTGTTGGCGGTGGCAGCGGCTTCGTTCTTACTATTGCCGCGAGTAGTTGTATACTTTATTGTCATTCTTTCGACTTACTATCAATTCCATTTCCGGCCCCATCGTGTTTACATTGCACACATTGAAAGTTTCGATTTCATGCAAGTTGTAACTTGCATCCACATTATGCAGAAAATTCTACCACAAAGTTGAAGCTCTCGAGTGGATGACAAGCGCATGTTGACTTCTGCTCATGCGCATTTGCAAATGGTAACGTTACTGAATCTTGGACTTCTTGATTGGCATCTCTTTTCTTGATCATGAAGGCTACAGAAGAAGAATGACTAAATTTGATGCTCTTCTCTTATACTATCATGCCTCGTGCATTTAGCTCCAGTAATTGAATTCGTAGATTCACTCATATCTACACTACTAGTCCTAGGTTAGTGTATAAATAAATGTCCATCTCTCGACTCTTGAATTCCTATGCGTGTAGATACAAGCAGAGGAAATGGCTTATAAGGGATCCAACGATGGACCAGAGTGTCTAGATTAAGAGAAGTTATTATATTCTAGCTGTAATCGCCTGTTAAGGATAGGATGTATGTGACACAACTATCAGTAGGTAGGTATTGTTACTTTCCTTCTGATGTTGTCGCAGACACGATACGACACTGTCTTAATTTCATTCGCTTTCAGTTCTCACCGTCGTTTGAAAGTGAATACAGAGCAAACGTCAAAACCCCTTCTTCTAGCTGTCGAGGTCATCCCAAAAGTTCCCCAAGAAAATCAATCAGTCGCCTTTATGGTTGTCTCTCACAGGAAGTACAAATTGCCTTGGAAAGTTAAGTTTACGATGCTGAAAGATGTATACAGAGTTTTTCGACATTGCAACTGCGACTCTTATACTCAGAAAAATTTGCTCCATAAACTTTGATTGTTTGCTCACGCACAATGTTATTGACTGTCGGTTGAATATCTTCCAAGTTTTTTTTATAAAAAAATAGGTGTATCAAGGATATCTGGAACTTGTCTTTCCAGGTTCCATGGTTGGTTATTCCACTTGCTTCAGCTAATGTGAAATGAAGACATGTTTGGAGTTAGTTATGATGAGCTTTACTTTCCAGTGAAGCTGTAAATCATATAACATTTTGATAAAGACTTGCGCACTTACTCCCACCCTCTCAGTCATCTGATTTAAATACCGCTGTTGCTTTACTAATCTTCCCGTTGTCGCTAGTTCTTAGTCACATTGTCACCCAACTATACATTGTCGATTCTGTAGATAATATGAAAATTGAAGCCTGACTTACTGGCTTGCCAGGTATGGTTCCAGATTATGATATTATATCTTACCTGTGTCAAAGACAGACCCTGCATTCTTTTCCTGTTGTGTTCGTGCAATATTAAGGAGCGTATCAAGGAGACTCGGACCAAGTTTTATATCTCTTCAATCTCAATTGAACATGTGATGCGGCACTTGATTCGGTGAATTGTTCCCGCTCGGGACCGAAAAGGATGGTTGGATGGTATAAGTAACATGTACTTCTCAACTTTGACCTCTCTAGATAAGCTCTATAGTACTTGACCAACCCCTCCAAGCAGGTGGCAACAACTGGGCTTGGTGATTGAGCTGTGTATCCTTTAATGAATTTCGTTGCCAAAGGCTCACGTTATGTCCTGGAAACCCTGGTTCAATTGGTAGACCTCTACACGAAAGAATACAACGATTTTGATAGCGTAAGTGTAGCATCGCTAATCTTGATAGAGCATTATCATTGCCATTGTTTGGTTCGATACATCCATCTTTCGGACGTAAATATCAACCACGGTATCCTATGTATGATACAACAAGATGGACAAACCCTTGTGATACGCTATAAGCTGCCCACCTCAGGTAGCCTCCTGCATCATACATATGGTTCATGACGGCTAAGGTACACTCTCATTGCAAGTCCACATCACGGACAAGCTTAATTTCAAAGTTCATTTGTTGGTTCTAAACCTTGTCTGTGTGAAGGACGTTGCTCCGGAGACTTCCGGTTGCTGAACAGATGTGTAGTCGTGAACAGGAATAATGGAGAGCATGGGCGTGAAAAGGTCCCTACTCGTTGGTGAAAAAAAAAGGTCGAGGTTTGAACTTCAAGCAGATAGAATCCTCCACCTGTATTCTGCTCCTAACTCTAGAAGTATCTTCATGATCCACCCGGAGCTATGTTTTACTGCCCCACTTGCACAGTCGCTCTCAAAGTCGTCATCGGCATTCATGAATTCGCTCGACGAGCTGCTTCCGTTATCCTACTCAACGCTATCACCTTTGAAGGTTTGGTGATTCCTTTTTGGCTCATGTTTCTCTGAGAGATTTCTTTGATATTCTGACAAAAAAAGTCATTGGAAACATGTTGTTTGTGGAAACGTTATCATTTTCGCTGGAGATGCCGAGACCGTGCTAGACTACTTGCCGGTCACCAATTTTCTCATTCAAGAGCAAGTTTGAAAGCGTTCATCTATAAAGGATGGAATGCATGACATCAAGACGGAATCGGGAATGGAGATAAGATAAATAGCAAATCCGAAGATCTGCTATAAATATGGAGATAACCCACCATTCGACCCATTAACCCCGCTGACACAATGGCAAATACGACCTAAAAATCTGATATGGTATCCGTTCCTCGGCGGAGGTGGAGATATCTAGATACTTGTATCTTCCCACAATGCCCCCCAAAAAGCACTGATTCCCCACCGTAGAGTAACAATGGCGTTGTCACAAGCTCGTACATGCATGGGGAAGCGACTGTAATGCACCGCGGACTCCGGGCTCTCTTCGTTTCTCCATGTCTCTGAACTCTTAGATGGTATCAAGGTGACTGTGGAGTTAGGGCTCCACGATGACTGTGTGGATGACAAGACAAATATTCATAGAAGGCCTATTAGCATGTGAATAAGATGCTCATACTAGGGTTGGTAAGCGAATTGCCAACCCATACACCGTGTCCGTTATTGCCCCACGGATGAGTTTATCCTTGTGATTTGCTTAGGACACGATCGATACATGTCAAACCCTGAACTACCAGTATCTTGGAATATCTCACACAATATAGAAGTATCTGGGCGGTGAGATATATGATAAGGTTAGTTGTATGGTTAATTAAAGGCTTACAAAGTGATAGAAGTGGCTCAGATCGTGTATCGTTCTGGACCATTACTAGGCTAGGTAGGGCTGATGCACGGGACGGAAAATAACGTTTACAGCCTATGAACCAAGTGAGCCAAGTGACGGACTAATCAGTTATCCATGGTCTTATTATTCATAACTACTAAGCTGTATACCTTGAACTTAAATGAGAATCGTTTCCATGATAAAATATCTAACGTAAGCACTTGTCTTATAGGCTATTAATAACAGTACAATAAAACTTAGCTATGTCGAATTGAGATATATCGAAATCTTAAATATACTAAAAATTTCCTCATTTGTTTACTTTTTTTATAGTAACATCGAATTCTTGAATAAAATCGGAATATCGAATACTTTTTTTCAATTCTAATGTAAATTTTCGTAATAAATGTAACTGAATAAACTTGATTAACTACTAGTACATAATATTTTTCAAAAAGATCAAAATTTGAAGTAAAAATCCAATTGAAATATTAACCAAAACGCTTAAGCCACTATATTTTATACCAGAATTTTGGATATATCGGATTTGATTAATCGAAGTTTTCGTTCCGGTATAACCAAGTTTTACTGTAGCAGTACGTTCAAGCGAGGATCTCTAGCGTCTCTGGCCACTCGGAACTCCACCACATAGCGGACCATTCCCTAAATTCATACACCGAACGCCCCACACACCAACGGCAGTCTCACTAAATACTCGTAACGACGCTATTGTAAGCACTTGAACATGATCATGGGCCGGCCCACTCTATGTCAAGTATTGTTGGACATCAACAGTTGCGTTACGGAATGGGATGGATGCAGCGATGTTCTGATAACAGAGATACAGGGAATGATTACAAACTGTTCAATGAACGTACGATCATGTCGTGTCCGAATGATATAAAAGGGTGGGTTTGTCAAGGAAGTAAAGTCTAATTCATCCATTCATCTCTTCATTCAAGATAAACAGACCTCACAACATATTTCACCATGAACGCCCTTATTGACACGTTAACAAACGGCATTGACTCCGGTTCTCATGAAGGAGTCTTAGCCTACAGAGCTCCCTCCCTTCTCCAACCTCATAGAGCCCGTGATGCTATCCGCGATGCTCACGATGGAAAGATCGCACCACTAGTTGGATTTTTCATCGGTTTACCTTCTCCACCCATCGCAAAAGTAGCGGCTCAGTTGGGCTATGATTGTGTATGGATTGATTGGGAACATACTTCCATGAGTGTGGAAACTATGACACAAATGGTTCATGATGTTCAATTCATGAGTGAGGGAAAGAGTTTTGCAATTGTTCGGTATGTTCCCACATAGTTACATTCAAAAAGCAATACTGACAATACTGTAGTGTGCCAGGCCATGATCACGCATCAATCGGCTATGCCCTGGATGCTGGTGCCTCCATTCTCGTCCCCCAAGTCGATACAGTAGAACAGGCCAAACACATCATTTCGTCTGCCAAATTCGGCGCCGTTCGAAATGGCACTCGTTCAGCACCTCCAGCTCGATACCTAATGGGTATCTCAGACACCACCATTGATTCCTCCAAGTCTATCTGGGAAAATGTGAATAACCAAGCCGCCATTATCATCCAAATCGAAACTCTCGAAGGAATCCACAATCTCGATGCTATCCTTACCGAATGCGGCGAAAATATTGATTCTGTCTGGCTAGGTTCATTGGATGCCAGAATTAGTATGGGACTACCCGGTATGTGGGGTGCTGAGAAGGAATGGACTGATGCGGTTGCACTTTACGAAAGTACATTGGCAAAGCATAATAAGCCTTCCAGTGGAATGGCTATGGGTTTTAGCGTGGATGATAAGATAGCAATGGCGAGAGGAAAAAGTTTGGTGATTAGTGGGAGTGATATCTTTCCGTTAATGATGCAGGCGGCTGAGGCGAAACAAATGCATGCAAATTTGAAAGCTCACGATCACAAGGGAATTTATAAGATATTGTAAGAGCTGGATGGAGGAGTTTGTTGTTGTCGATTTTAGCGCCTGGTAGGAAACACTGTGAGCGGGAAAAACTACGATTATTTTATACGGTCTTTCACATTTAGAGATTAGACTATTGAAATTCTATATTCACTAAAGTTATTTTCTACTCCTATCCTGCATTTAATATTGAATTCGCCTCTACAAAAGGATCAAGTGGTCCATCCTCTCTCACTCAACAACACATACCTTTAACAGACAAGTTTCCTTCCATGGGACTACCAGATAACCGGGTCAGAGAGAAGCATTCACGTCAGAGACAGCTAGATGAAACTGATTTGACACAGGACCTCCTCAGGTATATATTATCTTCTGTCGTTTATTTCTTTTTCCATCTATAGTTTTTAGCATTTTCAATGTGTCGCTTAATATATTCTAGGCCTTTCTCTGCCAATAGTTTGCTGTCGAATATTCAAAGTTTAAACGAGTTTGATGGTAAAACCTCTACTCACTCACTATTCTTTCAAATCCTATCGAATATCAAGGTGAAGTAAGGAAAAAATCTCAACGTAAATAGTTCAGCAGATCACGAAGCTACCGAAACCTTTTGCTTTCACCACGCCGTCTCTCCTGATTTATGGGTCGGTGACATTTTCCTATCCCTTCCGGATCGGAATTCATTAGACTCCCTTACCTCGGGGTTTTTATAAGTCTATTTTGATGGGAAAATATACAGGGTCAGACTAGCAATGCTCTGGTGGTAAAATCATGATTCACCACTTTTCATCATTCGCGCGATAGTGTTTCCATCCTTCCAGTTCTGAGTATAAGACAGATTAGCCGGGAATTGAGACTCGAGAAATAGAAATTGTCAGGAACAATACCAAGCGATGAGTTCGAGTATTTGGGAAATGCAGACTTTTTCACATACTGAATTAAAGCTTGGGTACCTGGAGAGGTTGAAGTGTTTGGCTCGCCCTGGTCTTGGTTTGATATTTAATATGCCATTCGTGTTGTGAGTCTGTGATGTTATATTTATCATACCTTGGTGCCTCACTCATCGTAAAAGCAATCCCTGCTGTCTGTCAAGGTATTTCATCATCGAAAAGTATTCGTTGTTGTTGCTGCTACACTCAGCAAAATTACATTGCATTGAATACATACTCTTCAATTCACCCAAATCCAATTCCATTTTGCCTTATTCAAAAATAAAAAACGTGAAGCGTGATATCCTTACAACGCTTTCTTGATGAGTAATCCGTAAATTTGAGGAGGATGAATAGCCCATCTAATCTCTTTTATATCCGCATTGCTTATTCTGACACCTTTTCAATCTCGCAAGTGAATTCAAAACATCGAATCAAACTGGAATACTTTGGTATCCCAAGAATGGAAGTACATGGTGATTAAGTGCCTAGCCTCTATTATAAATTACTTTGCAGGATTTACCTGAACATTGAGTATGAGCTGATCTGGGAGGTGCGGATCAAGGTCTTATGGTTTCTCAAAGCAACATTATCATACATCGAAGCGTTTGGCCTGAGCGGAAGGAGGGCGAGATCAGGTTTCTTGTGGATATTGATGTATATCACTCTTACACATATAGCGATGTAATTTCACCATCGTCGCCAACAACGCATTACACATTGCCGCTGTCATAAAGCTCACCAATGACTGTCATCCATATCCAACCGAACATTCCCATCACCTAGGAAAGATGCACATGTCCGCGAAACAAATGATAACTCTAGAAAATCCAAAACATCACCTGTTGTTCAAGCCCAAGTGGCGAATAGATGAAGGGATTACCGGTGATTCTTGATCGTTGTATAGATACCTAATCAATAGCTCGTTATCGATCTTAGCTTTGAGATTTGTTTATCTTTTCATAGGGGAGCGAAAGGGGAAAAGATTGGGGATTGTGGTGAATAGTAGATAGGAGTTAAAGAGAAAGTGGGAGGGGGGGAGGTCAAGAGAGCTAATTGATCTGTGATTAGATAGCTCTAAATGAAGATACTAAGGAGGGGATGAGTAATATCAAATCCCATCTAGAACCAAAAATCTTCCAAGAAGATTCCAAAAAGAGGACGAGAATATGGAAATAGCAAGTATATAAACATACAGGGAGTGTCTCATTTTATTTCCTTCATCTGTGTACACCTAGGAATACTCTACGTGGACAAGGGACAAGGTGGCAAGATCAGGTAGACTGTTATTCCAAGGAATCCGGTTCATAATAGAGCCTCTGATACCCAGGGGTGGTTTTGATCGTTATGTAGCAAGCTGCAAGCGAAATTGTGAAGATTTGTATATGACATGCTTACCTACTATCAATCAATGTCTTCTACTTATCAAAAATTAGAAAACAAACATGATAAACAACACCACATCGATATTATCTCGAATTTTCCAATCCTTTGATTCATTCTGCATGATTCTCGAGACGGCGATGAAACTTTAGGGGTTTAATTATAAGTTTCGCTAAAAAATGAAAATAAAAATGAAAATGAAGTTCAAGAACACCTTTTTTACTATCGCTTATGTTGATTATTATCTGATGTTTTGTGGATAATTGTCATTTATCTGATTATTCTTGGGGTTCGTATTTCTAGAAAAGGGGAATAACCAGATTATCAAACTTGAGTGATTAGACGCCTTTTCCTGACGAAGTAGAGTGAAATCTAGGAGTTTCGTCAGTGATTCAAAGAATGCAAATGTACGTGATGTGGTTCAGCTCAATAAATAGTATTCAATTCAGATAAAACCTCATAAGATGATCCGTACGAGTAAAACGAAAGAGAACAAACTCTGAGAAGATTCAATGCTCGGGAGTCGAGATACTACGCCCGTAATTGAAAGCTATGCAGTGGAGAGTAGGTATCTAGTGATACATGGTTGTCAAGCAGATAGACCTTTAATTTTCTGTTTTTCTGTTTTACTAAAGATCAAGATCTGATTATTGAATTTGGATCATCGGATTATTCTCATATTGTATGTTGAATTCCTGTGTTTCCGCATCTGTCTCAACTCACGGTAACTTCGAGCAACTCCACGCGTATTGTGAATTCAGGGAGAACTTGTGAATAATTGATGATGTTTGAAAGTTGATCAGAGCTTCACGATTGATCCGGAATGAATCTCCTCATGTGTGTATCGATGTGAGATACTATCTTAATACCACTGGTATTCAGCGCCTTGAGGTTCGAGCTGCTTGATTAGTGAAGTCTTATGAGTATATGTCTAGTAGATATAGACATACATATTCAGTAATATTCAACTCGTTACTATAGATTCCAAATTTGATATCTATCATCTTCTTGAATCCACTGCTATTTATATAAAGCGTGGAAATTCTTACATAGTGGTAGTCGGAGTACGCAGAGGGAAATAAAATGTAATATGAGGATAAGAATAGCGATTAAATCAAACACACTGGTAAATGATAAGAAGGGAATAAAACAGTAAAGAGAGAGAGAGAGGCAGCATACTTGCCTAGGAGGTGATGATGATCCCTCCCACGCGAGCTTGTTTTTAGTACTGATAGAGAGTAAGAAAGAGAAAACGAATGCAAAAGATACTATCTTTATGTATGCATTTCTAGATATCTATTGTTCGTTCCCCTCTCCTCTCCCTTCATTCTTACTTCCTCTCCCGCTCCATCCCCATCTCCCTCCCCGTCCCTTCCCTATCATCTCCCTCCCTGTCCCTATCCCCATCCCTATCATCGATCATCTGACCAACCTCAAAAAGCACCCACGGAGAAACAAACCCTTGCTCCTGGTGTCAATCAATCATGCACAAAGCAATAAAAAACAAATAAAAACAAATTCTCAACTAAAGAATCGAGAGAAAATCTTACAAATTCTCTTCAAACAATACATATACAACATCAAGCATCGAGCATCGAGAACCCAAATCGACCAAAACACACAGCCTATTACCTACTATCTACCCACTACTATCTTCCCATTAAAATAAACATAAAATATAAACACACATCTTCGACCTCCAACCTCCACCATCCAACTCCAACTCCAACCTCCCAGCCCCGCAACTTCAAAACCCTCGAAAACCCAAAAAGGAATAATATCCACGACTTAGATATGTTTCGCGCGAGGATATAAATTGATAAGGTAGGTAGGTACCCAGTAGGTATCTAGATCAGATTGGGAAATTTATACATCAGACACCAAACATCAAACATCAAACATGTGGAATACTAATGGTAAATGAATTCGAAACTTAGGAGTTATATGTACATGGCGAAATAATTAAAGATGTATAGTATAAACTAAAAACATTTTGTTACGGGAGCTGCCTCTAGGGTCACGTGGAAGTGGCTAGAGATCTCTCGAGGTGGTTTAGACTAGACTTCAAGTAGGAATTCAATAAGGTTGTAACTGGTTGCAATTCTCGTAACTATAGTAATGAAACTAATGATTGTTCTTGAGCACGAAGCTCTACATTGTAATGAAACCCATTCCCTTATATAGACCTTCGTTCTCTGTGCTCAGTCGGATCACAAATGATCCCTCTGATCCGATCAACTGGATCACTAATGATCCCTCTGATCCGGTTACCTAAGCGTCGGGGTCACATGACGTCTATTGTGGCAGACCATCGTAACACATTTATAATTTCAACATTTTTCAATAAAATAAGCTAAAATTGATACATATAACTGATTAATATCATAATTATATTATATCAAAGCTTCTAAAAAAAATAAAAAAAAAATAATTAAGATAAACACAATTAAAGTTATTAGATTGACTTGAAAAGTATTTAATTCTGAATACTTTTTCAATCTTTAATAATTCAAAGAACTAAATATTTTTGATATTAGAATTTGAAGATATTGTTAAACAAAAGCTTTGTTTTTTAGTAAATATATTTTTATAAAGATTCATCTATAATTAAAAAAGTTATTTATATTTAAAAAAGAGAAAAGATGAGAATTATTATTTTTAAAGGTTTCAAGTATAAAAATTAGAAAATTTGAGTTACTTTTTCGATTTAAATCTTTAATAAATTTTTTATTTTAAGAACTTGAAAAAAACCCTTTCTCCTATGTAAGATTATTAAATTCTCAATTAAATATTCAAAATAAAAAATAAATATTCAAAATTAATAGGAATATATACGAAATTATCACACTTATTTTATCAACTCATTAACCTTAAGATATTATTTCTCTTTTATTTCCTATTTAAATTCTATCAAATCTTGTTTAACGTAACGTATAGGGAACTCGGACATATGGGGAACTCGGACACTTTTTCAATTATTCTACACGCGATCTTGTTCTACGAGCCACACAATCCTCCAATTCCAATTCCGAATCACTTGAACTATTCTCTAGCTCTTCTTCTTCAATCTCTTCTTCTGATTCTTCAATTGGGCGTTTGCGTGGCCGTCCTCGTGGCTTTTTCTCCTTCGGTTTTTCCTCCGCCTCACGTACCATTTTCAATACTTCCTTAGTACTAAAGACAAATTGACCTTGTAATTTGACTCTTTTGCCTTTAGTTCTTTTCTTTCGAGTCTCAATTACCTCCTGAGCATCAGAGAGCTGTTTCCGAAGTAGGGCTATCTCAGCATTTTGAGATTCTACAAGCCTAGTCATTCTCTTGGCATATCGACGAGTTGGCGATGCAGGAGAACCACTGCTTGCTAGAGCTGTATTAAAGATCTGATTTGCTTGCCTTAGTTCTGTTCCATCTGGAGGAGAACTCCTGAGTATAGACAAGTCTAGGTCTTGATTGGGGGTTCTCATTTGTGGAGTAGAAGGTTGCTGGGAGGAGTTAAATGGTAATGAATCGAGTACTTTTCGTGGGGCAAAAGGTACTAAACCAGCTCCTCTCCAGCCAGCTTTAATATTAGAAGAATTCAATGCTTTTTTTCTAATATTTTGAAAGAGTTCTACCCATTCAGCTCTTTGGATTCGCTTTACACCAGCTCGAGAATATCGATCGACCTCTAAAGCATGATATCGTTTCATTGGCCCATACACCGCAATATCAAGTGGCTGAAGCAAGTGAGAGCAATGAGGAGGTAATATAAGTAAATCAATATCATTATCTATACAGAAAGCAATAAAGCTACCTGTAATATGGCTTGAATGGCCATCCATGATCAAAAGTCGAGGTCGGTCACCTGACACTTTCTTGGATTCTGGTTCGAAAACCCTTTTTAACCATTCTAATCCATGGCTATTTGAGGTCCATCCATTTGTACTAGTAGAGAACTGCCAGCTTTGAGGTGTGTCCTTTGGAATCCATGCAGAATTCGTATTCTGAGCCTTGAAAATGACCATAGGTGATAGAGCATTTCCAGCTGCATTGACACATTCAAATGCAGTTATCCATTCTTGCTTGCCAGCTGTAACTTTCCAATTCGATTTCTGAGTAGAATCGACTATAATGCGCGTACTTTGAGTACTTCCAACTCCAAATCCGGTTTCATCCATATTATACATATCATCTAATTCATACTTTCGCTCAATGAGACGCGTGCGAAACGCGTCAAACCAAGCCTGAATATTCTCCGGAGTTGCTTCTTTAGCCCGATTAGACTCTAATTGACGTGAATAGCATGTTTTAAGTTCTGGATGTCGTTTTTGGAATCTATAGATCCATTCGTGGCCTATAGGTGGAATTTCTGTCGAGGTAGGATTTCGAGATGACGCGACCCGAACGCGTCGAAGACGAATTTCGTCGGCCATTTCCTTCACCAACATAGGTGTAGCAGGGAATCCAGTGATGGTAAGTCGTGAAATCCATCGTACAAGAGTATTTTCTTCTACGTTTGAAAGAATTTGAGCCATTTCGTGGGTTTGGGAACGTGTTTTCTTCCCAGCCAGCCTATCAGCTAGGGTAGACTTAGGGACTTCAAAATGCTCTGCAGCCTTTCTAATTGATTTAAATTCTTTCAATTGAAGTGAAATTATAGCCTTTTGAAGCTTCTCTTCAATTTGAGCAGATGTAGAAGGTGATTGGGTATGCATAATAAAAGTTATTGCGGTTTCAAGTTGGTGATGGGCTAAAAGTGTCCGAGTTCCCCATATGTCCGAGTTCCCCATACGTTACGTTATATATAAAGAATAAATATATAACTCATTACTTTAGTTTTTATTTGTTACGGAGGTACCCGCACCGCAACATGGATTATAAGATAAACCTAAGGCCTTGGTGTTGGAACCTACGAAAACAGCACTGTAGAGATAATTGAATTAAAGAGTAACTAAAGATAGAGGTAACCAGATAAGTAATCAGTAATTAAAAAATAGATACCTATCTTTGTTAGCACCTACCCTACAATAGACACAAGATGAATAGCAATTATAAATTATAAAGTAAGTACAAATTAGATAAGCAATAATATTATTACAAGTTATAGGAATGGATATTACATAATGAACAGATATAGAACAATAGCATTCCAAAAAAGATTAGTTCTTCTAACTATCCAGGAAAATACAAAGGTTTATATAAAGGAATAGATTTCATTACAATATAAAGCTTCGTACTCAAGAACAATCATTAGTTTCATTACTATAATTATAAGAATTACAACCAATTACAACCTTATTGAATTCCTACTTGAAGTCTAGTCTAAACCACCTCGAGAGAACTCTAGACACTTCCACGTGACCCTAGAGGCAGCTCCCGTAACATTATTTAAATATAATGAAAATTGTAAAAGTTTTATTCGATTTTAGTTTATACTATGTATCTTCGATTATTTTGCTGAGTATATATATACTTATGTTCTTCATGTGAATTATAGTAGAATGAGTATGAATGAGATAAGAATTATGATTGTGATCAACTGGTATGAAATACATTGTAGGTACTAATAGAAAGATTTAAGATGATTGCAATTGGTCGAATATAATAAGCTATGCATGCCAATCTTAGTTTTAACCTAGAATATAAGGAACAACATATCGATTCCTCTCAATCTCCTCGCACTTCTCTCGCCTACTGGGTATATTTACCAAAGTCCTCCTCCCTTTCATCTATCTATTCAATAAATTCAATCCTCAGTTGTTTCAAAATCATAGCTACCCAGTAAATGAAGAAACACCACATATCTAGATTATTGTGTTGTGTTGTGTAGCACAGCACTGCACTGCATCACGTTACATTTCATGTCCTTCAGGTTATACATCAATATCTATATGTATACACCCTCCCGCAGTATCACAATCAAGCAAAAGAGTCTAGATCCCATCGACAAACGTAACATGGAAGAGATGCAATGCAGTTGAGTTGGAGTGCAGATAGAGGTAACGAAGCAAAGATTTCTGGAAAGAATTCGGATGGTGTGGGTGTGGCTGGGGTGTTAGCGATTAGTGCTTGATTTATGGGATGGGATAGTGAAACGAGGATGGGAGGGAGGGAAGAGGTTGGTTTACTTTGGGTTGAGAGAGCTCGGGAGATGGATAAAAGATAGATGGATAGCTACCTAGCTATAGGTAGAAGTTTGAATGGGAGTATTTTTAGATGGATGGATGGATTGTTTGGTTTCAGTAATGCTATGCTATGCTATGCTATCCATGCCATGCCATGTTGGATATCTAGGATTAATATATGGATTGATGCATTGGGAAGTTTTGGAGTTTTCGCATTTTGGGGAGATGGAAGGGTTTGGTGTTTGGGGTGATATGTATTTACGGGTAGTATTGAGCGAGGGAAAAGAAGAGAGATGTAGATATTGAAAGCATAGGATGAATCGGGATTGATTGAATTGGAGGTTACATAGAACAGAACAATTGAATGAAATCCTCCCAAATCATCAACTCCGACTAAAGATTCGTCATCCATCACGACTTTCGACGAATTGAATGGTTGAGATGAAAAGAATAGAAGGTCCAAGAATGATTGGGTGATTCATAATGAGTTTCAAGAGAAGTGAGAGAGAACGACAGAGAAGGGACGGAAGAGATATCAATGGTAAGTTTGTAACGTTTTGATGTTGATCAGTGATTGGGGTTTGATGTGATGGGAGGACTAGTCACTAATGTGTAGAAAGGAGGGAAGATCATTGGGGTTACTAGGTAGGTATTAGGTATTAGGTATTGATGGGATTATTGATGGATGTGTATACTTGATGTACTCTGTGTATTGTAATCTTACGATCTTCTAATGTAACTATCCAAATTGTATCGACAACTAGGTAGGTATCTACAACTACTGGACCTACGGAGAAGTATACATAACCGATAATTCTAATAATTCTAATCGAGCGCAGCGAGGACGGGGGTTTGGAGGCTTGCCCCCATATAAGAATAGGAGTAATATATATATATAGTTATATAAAAATAAAAATGAAAAGATCTCCAGCTCTACACCACACCCGCCATCCCTCAGGTTACATACAGGTGTAATCCAAATGCATCAAGCAATGATTATCCTTAGCAATTCACCCCACAACGCTCATTAATTGTGAACGTCGGATGAAATAGATATTTACTAATCATGCAAGAGAATTTCCAGGTAATGTTAATCCAGGAGATCAACATGCAGCGATTGGTAGGGAAATTAAGAAGATGGATATGAAAATAAAATGAATCAATTAAGGAAATCGAGGGATATACATGGATGGATGGATGTGTTTGTACGAGGATGGATGGGAGTTTGTGTTTGTGTTTGTGTTTGTGTACGAAGGAAGTACAGTAAGGTTACTTTGTAGATCGTTTATATCATTTTAATATACTACGAAGTACACGGGCTGAAACTTCCTTGATATTGAATAGAAGACCATGATCAATTCTTAATCTATCTGAAGCACATCCTAATTATTAGTAAGCACATTACCATACCTTGAGCAAAAACCCATCAATCAGACGGTTAATCGGAAGAAGGCCTCTTTTCATCTTTTGATGTTCTATTGACCAGGACTCTCGGTGAAGCTTTATTAATTCTTCTAGGAAATACCCTTGATATTGTAATCTTACATCTATCTCATCATCTATCTTGTCCTATTCTCTTCTTTGGCATCCACTTCTGGTTTATTAGAAGTTCCATGACTTTACTCTTTCCTTTCTTTCCTCTCCTCTCTGATCTCTGGTTCTCTCCTCTACCATATACACACAGACACACAGACACTCATTTTTCTCCTCTCCTCTCTTCCCTCCCCTCTCTCCAAATCCCTCCTTCGATCCATCACCCTACATGATTGGAAAGCTGGATCAATGCCCTCGTGGAGAAGAAACATTACACTTCTCCATCTTCCATCTTTATCCAAAATAACAGAAAACCTTACTCACCACCACCACATGAATTCATAGTCGTCACATCGCCCGTGCTTTTACAAGTTGCGTCTTACTTACTCTACACATACCTACTTTGTCGAACCAAAATAACGAAACGATGATGATATAAAGACTTTCAAGGGATTTTCGAGGGAGATATTATACTCCATTCATTCATCCATTCATCCTTTGAGTATCGTATCCATCGTATCTCGCTCAAGGCACTCACTCTTCTCCTTTCTACCTTTCTCTCCATCCCATCTCCACTTAATTCGCAGCTGTCAACGCGGCACATTTTCACACTAGAAAGTACCGGGAAAGGACGAACAAACGATCCAGAAAGTTAATTGATCAATATCCACCAAATAAATCAAAAGATTATCTCTCTTTCTCTCAATCATCTTACGCACTTCAAGTACTCACACACACACACACACTCTCTCTCTCTCTCTCTACTATATTATCATTCTTTACATTCTTTTCTTCTTTCTATCGTGTAACCTTGAACCCTTTCTCAAACGTCTTTTGCAAAACCGTCTTTTATTTTCTCGCCATTCTTTCCTTTTTTCTATTCGTGTAACCCTCTGAACCCTTTCTCAAACGTCCTTTTCAAAACGGTCTTTGATTTTCTCGCCATCCTTTCCGACTTTAGTTAGATTTCCTTTGAAAATTAGTCGACCCGATCCTCCCGCAAACGCCATCTTATAGCTTCGGCTCATTGCGAAATTCCAAGCTATCCTCCACTCATAGCCACTCAGGGTCCAGATTCATTATCGAACATTTCCATTGCCATTGCCATTGCCATCTCGCTTTCGATTTCGACAATTGGTCGACAATTGATCGAATTTCTATACTTTTCCCTCTTCCCAACCACTTCTCTCACAGTCATATAACATCATTGAAGAATGCCATTATCTTCACCCATTCTCATGACTTACCCTAGCCCTCCTAGAAGAGCTGGAGGTTTCCTACGATATATCATTGGCGCAATAGGAATCCTTCTACTAGTCTTTTACTTTAGAAGTTCATCTGAATCGTCATCTTTCACGTATATAACCCCCCCAGTACCCGATACGCCAACATCAAAAGTATCTTCCATACCATACTCAGAATCCCTTCCCGATACGCCAATATCAAAAGTATTTTCCGTACCATACTCAGAATCTCTTCCCAATCACGAATTACCCATTTCCAAACCGAAGCAAGAACATCCTATCGATACTTTAATCGCCAATGCAGAAAAGACTCTGGATGAACTATTGCAAAAAGAAAGTCATGACATCACTGCCGCCGCGGCAGAATATCGCAAACGCAGAGGGAGACATCCACCCCCAGGATTTGATGCATGGTTTCAATTTGCCCAAGATAATAATGCCGTCATGGTGGAGGACTTCTTTGATCAAATATATCATGACTTAGGTCCATATTGGGGAGTGACTCCAGCGAGAATGAGAACACAAGCTAGAGATGCTGGCATGGTGATAAGCATTCGAAATGGTAACGCAACGGCAGATAGTGACTGGTTCTGGACGCAAATTTGGTTGCAATTGATTGGAACCATACAAAAAGATTTACCCGATATGGATATTCCACTCAATGCTATGGATGAACCAAGAATGGTGGCTCAATGGGAATTGATCAATGAGAATATGGAAGTTGAGAGAGCTACTCGGCAACTCGCGGATGTCAATGTGGTATCGCAGGATTACGGAAGTTTGCCTCCTCCAAGACGTGCTGGAAGTGGGGAACCAGACGCACCCGTAAGAGAATGGGAAACTTCAGGTATGTGGAGAAGATGGTAGATTTCGTGTTTGGTTTATTGACTTCAAATAGGTCCATATTGGAAAATTGCTACTAGAGGTTGTCATCCAGATAGTCTTGCACGTCGAGCGGAAGTTATGACTGACTTTTCGAAAACACCTACTATTTCGATGGGCCATTCTTCTTTACATACTTTTAAAGGTTACGTTTCGAATTATAGTCTCTCGGCCGATTTTTGTCATCAACCAGATTTACAGTCTCTTCATGGAATGATGATTAATCCTCTCTCAATCTCTTCAACTCAAGAATTATACCCTCTTTTCGGTGGTTCCAAACTGCCAACAAATAACGAAATTTTATTACCGGCACCAATGTATTGGGCGAAAGAAGAAAGATTTACAGGTGGTGATGATCATGGAGTTCCTTGGCATCAAAAATTAAATAAAGTCATTTGGAGAGGTGTCGCTACAGGAGGTCGAAACAAAGAAGATAATTGGAAAGGATTTCAGCGGCATCGCTTCGTCTCCATGACAAATCATACATCAGTATCTCGAGCCGAATCTTGGGAAACGATTCCTCCCAATTTCGCCCTTCCAACTTCGATATATAATATTGGTGCACAACAAGAAAATCGTTTGGGAGATTGGGTACAAGAATGGTCTGATACAGCATTTATCGAATTGATGTGTGATGAAAATCGAAAAGATGGGACTTGTCCTTATACAGATCCATATTTCTCGATTGAGGAAGGACAAAAAATGAGTCAACAATTCAAGAATAAGTATATTCCTGACATTGATGGCAATTCTTTCTCGGGAAGATATCGAGGTTTCTTACTTTCTTCGAGTTTACCAATCAAAGCAACTATTTTCCGCGAATGGCACGATTCACGACTTATTGCTTGGAAGCATTTCGTACCAATGGATAATAGATTTATGGATTTCTATGGCATCATGCAATATTTCTTAGGTTATGAAGGAGAGAATTTTAGATTTGAAGGACATGATGAGGAAGCGGAGAAGATTGCAATGGCAGGACAAGAGTGGGCGAATAAAGTATTGAGGAGAGAGGATATGCAGATTTATGTATTGAGGTTACTGTTGGAGTACGCACGCGTCTCTAATGATAACAGGGCGAATCTGGGATTTGTGAAGGATCTCTTGTGATGGAACTTTTTGAGAAGAGTAGTGGGAAAAGGTGATTGAGGAGTGAGGTGGGGAGGTTTCTTCGATTTTCGTTTCGTTTTATGGAATAGGGCTTTGCTTCTTTTCGGCTGGGAATATGACTGGCATAGGGAATTCTATGCGTATGGTATGAAAAATAGCGTTTTGGGGGAATCTACAGCGGGTGGCGAATGGTGTAATGGAAATGACTCAAACAATGAGTCGGGGCGTTTTTTGGTATTGGAATTTTGGGAACCTCGAAGACGAGTTTTTAGACCGGGAAAGATGGAGACAGTCGATAGAGAGGAAGATAAAAGGGACGAAAAAGAGAGAAAGGGGGTGTGTTTGTCTTGATTTTTGAGCGAAGATGATCTTTTTGTGATGAGCGAAAATAAGCGAAAATTAAGGAGGAAATGAGGACGATACTTGCAGTGATTATACCCATAGATTAGATGGAAAAGAATCTCAATGATGAGATGAGATGAGAATAAATGGATCAGCTTACAAGTTTAGATGTGTGTAAAATCTCTATGATTTTGATGTGAATAAGGTAAATAGGGAAATGAGATGTCGTCTGTTTGTTGTTTTGAGTCTTGAGTGATTGATTGGGAGAATTGATAGTAAGCGAGGCAGACTTGGATAGTTGAGAAATTATGAATGTTTACGATCTTGATATATATATCGAGGTATCTACCTGACTACCTTCATTTTACCTCTCATTCTATTCCTTCTTATGCTATCTTTTATCTTACCTCCCATTCTATCCTAACCTATCTTGCCCCCCGTTCTATCTCCCTCTATCCTACCTCCCATCCTATCTACTCTAATATTACCTCTCATCCTATTCTATCTATCTCATCCTACCTAGTACCTACCCACTCCTTACCCTTATAAAAAAAATCACATATATACATAACATGATTCATATACGAGTAGATCATATTATCGAATAGATTACTTAATTTACATATAAAATCCGTTTACACGTAATCATACATTTTCTTTATTAGTCAATAGAATTGTTCGGAAATTTCTCATATAGAACTCAATCTTTTAATCATTTTCAAAATCTAATTTTTATTCAACAATTCCAAGTATTAATTATTAAAGTTATTAAAGAAAACATTATAACGTAGTTTATTAGTGAGCGGGTTATATTAGTGAATAGGTCATTTTATTTTATATACAAAATTCGTTTATATGTAATCGTATACTTTCTTTATATAATAATATAATTTAAAGAAATCTGAAAATATTGAAATTCAATTATATAAATATTATAAAAATCTAATTATTTATTAAAAAATGAAATTATTATAATAGTTATTATAAAAATAACTTTTTTGTAATGAAAATTGTAACAATTTCTACTTTTTTTTTAGAATATAATAGAAATATTTATGAAAAAACTAGATTTATAAAAAGCTAATTTTTTATTGTTATTAAAAATTCTTTTCTTTTTTCAAAATAATAATTAATTATTAAAATAAGAATATTAAAAAGGCTTAATTTTGATGTATTTTCAAATGACCTGTTTATTAATATAATCCGCTTACTAATAAACTACATTATAGTTTTTATAATATAAATGTTACGGGAGCTGCCTCTAGGGTTATGTGGAAGTGTCTAGAGTTCTCTTGAAGTAGTTTAGACTAAACTTCAAGTAGGAATTCAATAAGGTTATAACTAATTATAATTCTTATAATTATAGTAATGAAATTAATGATTGTTCTTAAGCATAAAGCTTTACATTGTAATAAAACCTTTTCTTTATATAGACCTTTATACTAAAGTTGATCGACAAGTCGATTGGCTTTTGATTATATGATATTTATCCTATGATTCCTATTGTTCTAGTTTGTCCTTTTATTTTAGAGCTAATCTTTTAAGGCATTACTAATCTTAATAAAGCCTTCTTGCTTACTGTATTCTATCTTTCCTAGGACCTACTATCCTGAGAACTATGTTCTAGGTTTCTAGGGTATCCTATGACTAATACTATATACATACCTGAGGCGTCTCTTGAGTGCCTAGTGTCCCCCGGTATACTACAGTTGAATCATTAAGGTCTATAATACTATTATAGCCTATAAGTCAGTGATTCTATAGCCTGTTACTAATCCGTTATAACAATAAAGTATAATAATTTCGAGCTAAAATGATTTTTTTTTATAGAAAAAAACCTGAATATTATGAATATTTTTTTATTATTGTTTTTAATGATTTTTTAAGAAAAACAAAAAAAAACAATAATTGATTATTTAAATAAGAATAATATAGTTTATTAGTGTGTATACTATATTAGTACGTGCATCATTTTAAAATACATTAAAATTAGGCCTTTTTTAATATTCTTATTTTAATAATCAATCATTATTTTAGAAAAAAAAAGAATATTAAATAATTATACGAAAATAGATTCTTAGAAATCTAATTTTTATATAAATATTCCTATTAAATCTTAGAAAAAGTAAAAATTGTTACGATTTTCGTTATAAAATAGTTATTTCTATAATAACTACTTTATGAATTAAGTTTTTCTTAAAATTAATTAGATTTTTATAATTTATATATAATTAAATATTTTGTATTAAATTTTTAAAATTTTAATCTAAAAATAAAGAAAGTATACAATTATACACAAACAAATTTTATATATAAAATGAATGATGCACATACTAATATAATGTACGCACTAATAAACTATGTTATCAAAAATGATTAATTAATTTTTAGTATATTTTCAAGTAATTCGTTTAATAATATGATCTACTCGTATATGAACTACGTTAACTCAGAACTTTTTCAGTAAAATATTTAAAAATAAACTAGCTTTTTTTATATTTCATTAAGATACTTGTTCAACGATTTTAGTTTTTTTTCTATTGTGTAATAGAAAGAATTAATAAATAAATAAGGGGGTTAAAAGTTGAAGAATTGATGGTTTTAGCAGGGAAATCGAAATCTGTACGGTGAGGAGGTTCCAGAACTCTTACATTGTGTAGAGAACTCTACACTGTATATATACTATATAAATTCGCTACGCAATGTATATACTATACACCGGTTACGTACAGCTCCACTAAGGGTAACCTTGAAAGTAAGTAAGTAACTAAGGATTCTTGATAAGATGGGCGGTGGTGAATACAATGAATGAATGATGGGATAATGGGATAATGGGATAATGGGATAATGGGATAATGGGATAATGGGATAATGGGATGGATGATAGGATAAATGAATGAATGAATGAGATGGATGATGGTGGAATTACTATCATTCTCACTATCACCATTACTATCAAAGGACTAGAGCATACGAGTCTACTCAACTCGACTCTGCTCAACTCAGCTGGAATGATATCAACAGCACCAAAGGATATTCTTTCACCATCAACACTAGAACTACATTGCCTACACCGACTTCGGTATCGTACTTCACTTCTCATACCTAAATTGATAGATGAATGGATGATCATCTGCATTTAATCTGCATTTAATCTGCATTGAATTTCATTCCATTCCTTTCCTTTCTCTCTTTCCTCTCTTATTCAAGTACGAGTATGAGCACGAGTACTGTCTACCTCTCGCATCCCCAATCCACCCTCACATCCGCATCCACATTCAACATTCATCAAACGCCATGCGCCGCGCCGTGCTTGCTGTTCTACATACATACATACATACATACAAGGTACGTACCTACATACACCCAAGAAAGATACCATGAGAGCCTAAAACGCCATTCTCTCTGCCTGCCTACCCATTTATACCATCTCTTTGATATATCCCTCATGAGTCTATATTCGCGTTTCCATTCCCATTCCTATTCGCCTTTTCCATTCACCTACGCCTATACTCCATCCTATCTGCATTTAGACTCCCTACCCTAATCCATTCCGTTTTCGATCCACTTTGTCAAGCCTCCCCTTATCCCCTTCACTTTCCCCTATCCCCTCTAACCCTTCCCCTCTCCATCTCCTCCTGCAATTCCTTATTCTCCCTATCCTTCTCCCTCAATCTCTGCGCTGCACTCGTACGATCCAATTTCCTCGCTTCTCTTTCCGCCTTCAACTTATACTCCAATTCCTGTAATCTAACTTGCCAGCGTAAATCGGGTTTATATTCGTCTTCTCTTGGTTCACCCGTACTACTTTCAGCTCGCGTCAAGGTGTTTGACCGCGTTGGTGTGTTCATCTCTCCATTTGCTTGAGATTGAGATCGAGAATTTGAAGCAGATGAGTGACGTGTCATGGTCGAGGATCTGGATAGAGAGTTATCGATGCGACGACGAGGTCCAGTGGGGATAGATGGTGATGGCGAAGTAGAAGTTTCGTAAGCGCCAGATCTGACTTCATTGGCAGCCTTTAGACTCGAAATTTCCGTTTTCAAAGACCTATTCAAATCCTTCAATTTGACCACTTCCGCCCTACTATCCATACTACTAAATGGCACTGCACTCCTTGCCATCGTTTCCAATCTATCCAATTTCTTCGTCTGCATCTCAAATCGATTTTCAAGGGTCGAGTATTCCTTCCACAATCTCCTATCTAGATCTTTGACTCTTCCCCTAAAATCACCGACTAATGTTTCGATTGTTTTGACTGCCGCCAACAAGTTCTTGGAGAAACCTGGGAACATAGTAGAAACAGCCTCGAGAGATGGAAGTGCACGACCATTAATGAGGGAATTATTATGAGACCAATCTGTCCCACAAAGACTTGAAAGTCTACCCCATAAACCTAGGAGTAAGTTATTTCTTTCTGTTAGTTGTTCTTTGAAATTGTTTTCTAGTTGTGCCATCTTTCTCCTATCTTGTTGACGTGAAGTTTCGAGTTCTAGAACACGTGATTCTTGTTGTGAGAGAGTGCGAGTTGTGTGAGAGGATGTTTTTTGAGATGTTTCGTATTGATTTTTGGTGAGACGATGGGTTTGTCGTTCTTTGTCTAGCATATCTGCTAATTTGCGAGATTCAAGAGCGTGAGACTCCAAGAGGTCATCACGTTGTTTGATCATACGTTCCTTTTCGGCTAGAGAAGCTTTGGTGGAGTCTAGATCTCGAATGGTATTTTCGAGTTCACGTTGGAGTTTTGCGATAGACTGCAGATATTAGTTCATTACCCATGAAAAAACGGGATGAGGCAAACTTACATTCAATAGACTTGACCTGGTACCATTCAAGTCACCAAGAGCTTCCCTGAGATTACTCTCAAGTTCCATAAGCCTCTGTTTCCACTCTGCAGCCTCCACTTCTCTTGAAGTAAGATTCTTTCGTAGTCTTCTAGCTTCATCCTTGGCGGTCGTTGCTTCACGATTCAGATCATTGACGAATTGCTGGACTTCTTGCTTCTCTTGACTAGCAACAATTTCTCTTTGATGTCTTTCCTCATGAAGACGTTCATCAAGTTCTCTAGAACGTTCTTGCTCTTCATGAAGAGCATTCTCCAAGTTCCGAATAGCGGCCTCAAGATCCCCAATCTTGATCTTATCTCCATCTTGTTCTTCTCGAAGAAATGCAATTTCATTTTGACTCGATTCTTGCTGCACATTCAATCGATTGACCTTTTCGTTGGATTCGACATAATTCTTCTCGATTTCCTCAAGTTCTCTATTGGCTTCATCCAGTTCTCTTTCAAGATCTTGAATCTTTTTAGATTTTCTTTCATGATCATCTTCCAACCTAACAACTATATCACTCATCTCTCTCATTTCATTCTGCAATGCATTGAAATTCTCTTTCTCATCAGCGACTTCAGCCGAAAGACGTTCAATCTCGGCGTTGGCTTCTTCTTGTTCTGCAGCAAAACCATCAAGCTCCTCTTGAGCTTCTTTACGTAAGGATTCGAACATCAGTTCGGCTTCCTCTTGACCTTGAAGTGCTTCATCTCGGTCTGCTTGCATAGTGAGTAGATCATTCTCGGCAACATCCAAGGCTTCTTGTAATTCTTGAGCTAGACCTTCGGCTTCTTTCTTGTGCTCAACAGCAGTCTCAAAATCCTCCATACAAGACTCGAGTTCACGTTGTAAGTCCTGATTGTGTATCTTAAGACTATTGATTCTGTCTCGAAGTTCGGCTTGCTTATTTTCGAAATCTTCCCGTTCAGCCTCATTCATACTAGTCTGTCTTGTACCCGCACTAGTCCTGGAGGATGATCGTTCGTGTGCCCGTGATGCTGATCGTTCAAATATGCTCTCGCCGGCCACCGATGTACCACCTCTTCTTAGGCCAAGCTTTAACTCCTCGATTTCTTGATAAAGCCGTTCTTTTTCGCGGTTTCTTGAAGTCAGCATTGATGTCTGTGCTCCAACTTCTCGTCTTAGCTCTGCATTTTCATGTCGAAGTTGTTCATTATCCCGTTTGATTTCCTCGGCTAACGTGCTTGCTGAGCTATATGTACCATTCCTATCATCTGTCATGCGATCAGACATGTTGGAATTCGATCTCGAAGGTGATCCGACACGTCTCTTTGAGATGTTGTAAATATTGGTCGTGTGACTCAATCCTTGTCCTCCGGTGGCCGTCTCTGATTTTAGTCGGAAGATCTCTTCCCGAAGAGCTTTTATCTCATCATCGCTTTGCTCTCTGCGGGCAGTTTCTTGCTCAAGGAGATCTTTCCAGACATCCATTTCTTCCCGTGTTTCGATATCTTGACCTCGCCTTTCACCCATTGTACGAACCAAATCTGTAAGATTTCTCTTCTCGTTTTCTCGAGCAAGACTTTCATTCCTTAACCTCTCAATTTCCGTCACATATTCTTCAACCTTCTCTCGTAAGTAAAGCAGCTCCTCCTCCCGTTCAAAAGCGCCTTCTTGATACCACTTCTGACTTCCTTCTGTAGATGTACCTGATCGAGCTGTAGATGGCCGGTCTTCGTCATCTTTGAGTTGTTTCTCAAGGTCTTTTACCTTTTTACGAAGAGCTTTATTATCTCTTTGCATGACGGCTAGACCTGTCTTGAGCTCAACATTTTCGGATATCATTTCCTTAACACCTTCCTCAGAAAGCTTGTCTAATCGATCACTGAGAAACATGACTTTCAATTTTAAGTCAAAGTTCTCCTTGGATAATCTTTCGATCGTGCTGCTCTGTTCCTTCAAGGTCAGATTCTTACCAGTTCTTTGGCCAAGAGCAGATGCTGCAAAGCTTGCCGACTTGCTGGGTGTATGTACGCCATGCTTCGTACGAAAGTCTTTAGCCATTGATTCGGGTACTTGAACATTGCGAACGTGTCGTGCAATAATTGTATCAGTGGGTGGATCCATGGGTCGACTAGACGCACGAGGTGTTTCTGGAGCAGAATTTGTCTGGTTTTCACTCCTCCCACGAGTTGAGTCCTCTTCAGCCAGTGTCGCCAATGGTCCATCCACTCTTCCAAATGAATCGCCGCCTTCGTCAATACCAGAGGCCATACTTCCCAAACTTATGGTCCTAGATAAAGTCATACTTCCACTTCTAGATAACCCCCCGGAAGGAAATGCGCCTCCGGATTGCAAAGCATAATCTGCACCAACTGTTACATCGCTTCGATCGTCTTGATTCTCAGAATTTGTTATAAAAGAAGACACAGAAGATCGTTGACTTGAATGTCGACTGGTGAGAAATTTAGGTCTAGACGTGTTGCGTGTTGAAAGTGCGCCCCCTGGGGTCGTACCGGCATCGACCGTTAAATGTTTGTTTGTACTCCTAGCCGGTGAATCATGGGGTAGGCTTGAGCTATCATTCACCGATTGGACAAATGCACGTAAATTTTGGCGCGATCTTGTGGGTGTGGCTTCCATGTCCTCTTCCTCATCTGATTGTTGCTGTGATTGAGAGGTAGATTGTGCTGCTGTTTCGGAATTCTCTCCCACGCTTGCCATTGACATTGCTCGAGATATGGTTCTTGCAGCGGCAGCGGCTGTTGGGGACGACGAAAGATTTTCGAGGTTAGAAGTCGTGTTTCCAATTTGTTCCGAATCATCGTGCTCTCCTTGCACAGAGTATCGAGGGGCAGGGCCTGGAGTTTTGTATGCTCCATCCGGTGTGGGAGGTGAAGAGGGTGTCGGAGAACCATGGCCCCCATTTTCATTACTTCCAAATGTCTTTCTCTTAGGAGTTTGTGCTTCCATTGCGGGGGACTCTTCACCATTCCGACCCGCATCAAATAAATATGTATCATCGGCACCAGCCTTGCCATGTTGACCAATTGGTGAAACACTCGGGAGGAAACTTGATTCGACATTATCCAAGTGTTGTTCCATTGCCTTTGCATCCACGGCACTCAGCAGACCTTCACTTCGATTATCTCCGTTGTCGCTATGTGCATAAAGTACGCTGCTATCAATGGGAGGGGACAGAGTAGGTAAATTCCGATGGTCGTAAGAATCCGTTTGATTATTCCGCTCGAAAGCTTGTGAATTTATGGATATCGAATCGTCATTGTCACTTCTATCTGCCATTAAATCGCCAATATTATGAAATGTAAAAGCTTCGTTTTCCGAATCCTGTCGTGCAGTTCGTGGCCGTGAATCCGTTTCCGACATTGTTGACAAACTCGACATTGTGTAATCATCTCCCTCCGCCATCTTGCCTTGCAGATAGTTCAACGCGTCGCATTCGCTGTATATCTATTTGGACTTGGTCGCAGGTTTCGTATGCTATGTTATATGCTGTGTTTTTTTTTCGTCAGGAGTAATGCGCTGGACCGTAGTGGATAAATTGAACTGGCTGAAATGATGATAGAAGCAACGAACAAGTAAGTCTAGGGAGTTGGTGAGGTGATGAGAAATTGATCGTATGATTTGTATAGCATTATCGTTGCCGCAATATTCATAGAATATTAATCAAGAGGCTTTTGATATTCACTTTTTGCTCCGCTGTGCCTTTTTAAATAATTGACGTGCATATAAAATCGTTGTTCGTTGTCAACCAGAAAGTCTATCTATGCCTAGTATCGGTAAGTCTAGAAAACATTCGGTTCAATGTTATTACTGGGGGTCAATTTTTGTCAGGGCGACCAACAATGTTTCACACCCGTTATAGCTGCACGGACTTGTCGGACATCTACCCAAACACTACTTAAGCTCGCGTGGGCTAGACCTCCAAACATTTCACCCCACCCCACCACAACACAAACATACTCTCTTAACACGCTTCAAGTATACTCGCATAGGTAGGTATGCATTATCATGATAACACAATCGACGTAGTATTCGAATGGTATCTCAGCTCTCTTGTAATTGCAGATGCATAGAGGTCTATACTGTTTCGTCTCTTTGTCTGACAGAAGAGTTCTTGTCTTGTGGTTGAGGTCTGGAGTCTCCTATTCACAATGGCATCAAAGGGAAACCGTGGTGTGGACAGGTCATCATTTCAACTTGAATCTCAGAGCTATCGCCGAGAAGAGAAGTTTCTCCTTCTGTCCTTGCACTTTAGTCAAGTGTTTTTTCATGGAATCCTCAGAGTGAAGTCATTCTATCATATCATTCCAAACTTTACTGAATGCCTGTCTCACTTGCACGTAAGACTCTCGCTACCATCTTATCCGGACATGTTCTGTATCGTTCAAATATTTGTCTATGTTTAGACCTGAGGGGATATCATTCCCCGGAAGTTTTATCATCTGTTGGAGAATATTACGCAGCTGAATTTTCAGACATTCAAAATCAAATTCGACACAACCAATGAATGGCCTTTACAGTCTATCGCACGATGTTGGGTATCGAATGAAGCATTGGTATCTCTATGCTGAAAGCCCAATGGTCATAATCAGCAATCAACACTCTACAATCTATTTCAATCCCCAATATAACGCAATGACAAGTAACTGATTAAATCACGATGTTGTTACTGAAATTCGCAGCTTGGATAAAATGCTAGTATCCATAACCAACAAGTTTGAAGATTTTTATCCTGTTCCATCCCGGCAGGATCTTCAATCATTTCAATGACTTCACTTGCAAAGCTGTTATGTATTGTCAGATGTCACTATGATTTAGTCAAAACTTTGGGCTCTGCCAACCATTCATGCAAAATGCTGATATGTCCGCAAAGTTTGGGCAAGGGCGGATGTTTAAGATTAATGATTCCCCACAGTTATGCTGCTGTAATGACTTCATTCACTTCGCAATTATCGCGATTGAAACTGGCATCAAGAGCTGCCATTATAGGAATCAAATAAGTAGCAGATCAAGAATCTTACCATGTGTTGACCCGGGCCAAGTTGAATGACAACAGGAGACTTACACATCTTTATATTCGGAGACCATATATTATCAAGCATTCGTTTCTTGACTGCACAATAGCAGAATTACTTGTAAACTGCGTCTTGGTCTCTTAGGTCATCACCAACTCCACAAAGTACCATCTATCTAGGTTCAGAGCTGAAAGCCACATCTTATGGGTATCACAAAAGGTGTCGCAAAAGGCACGTGTGAGGGTTTCAATTTGGGGTATTCCAATTCCAAGGTTCAAGCTGGGCTGACTGACTGCCTAGAGAATAGAGACTCAGCAATCACTCCAACCCATTTTGACACAGAATATACTATACTTGATACTTCAAGTAGCACGAAATTTGTATTCGCAAATATGACTTCTCATATTCCAAATTCCTGAGTACAATCCTCTTACTTGGAAAAACTCTCGGAACTCGCGAAAGAAGACCTAATCATGGCATAATGGTCGCGGATCTTTGGAAAGTTTTGAGAAAATCACTTCAAGAATCGAGCATTACCAGGACCAAATGATAGCTCAAGGTGTGATTGAGTATAGTCATAATGACAATGAAAAAAATCAAGAATATGTTAGGGCAATATAGAAAGTCATTACCGGAGGCTTATCGATTAGAACAACATGTCCGCGACACTTTACAAATGAACGTTGGAAATCTTTCTCTGAAGGAATTCAAGAAGTCGCTAGAGAAAGCAAATTCGCTTGGGAGGCTATCAATACTTGCCTTTGTATTTCTCCCTCTCTCTTTGGTAACATCATCTTTCGGTATGAACATCAGTGAGATGACTGGCAATGGCGCTCCGTGGAAAATCTTTCTCATAGTTGCTGCTATTTTATGTAGTCTGGGAGTTGTTCTCTTCCTTTGGATATTCAGGAAATCCCCAAGGGTCCTGAGTTTTCATTTTGCCTGCTCTTATCCACCCGTTTGGATTCTCAACTGGGTTAATGAGCAAACGTTCAGTCATACTGGTTTGTGGCTTTGGTGTGGTAAATATCTTGGTAGATTCTAGTCAATGGGGCAGGTCTCTATTTGGCAAGGATTCGACGAACGATGGGTGACAATTTGTGTATTCCTTTCCTCACTTCAACAACTGAGAAATATTGCACTGCACAGCTATCAGCACAATCTCAAAGAACATCGAGAATCTCCAGTGGCCACAGGATCAAGAGGTGGTACCGCGACTACGTGGGAATTTCTCAGATATATGAAGAGATCTTCCATGTAATTCTCGCTTTCAACCCAAGACATCGACACGGATACCGAAACAACTTATTCAAACTGTATTCGAATCTGATACGACCTCCAAGCTTCTTGGAATAGGGGAACAATTTTTCGCACGATGAACTGGACAACACTTATTCGTTTGTGAAGAACCTCATTTTCGTACGTCTTTGACCTGATCATGATTTAATTGTCTCTCAACAACTGCCAATTCTTCTCGACTTGGAGTAACTCAAATACTCTGCAGTAATGATACATCTTTAATATATGGTCATGAGCCATCGAGTTCATCGAATAATCATCGCAACGCCCAATATAATCTACATACACTTGTGCGTAGCGAGAGAAAGTTACCTAAATCCCAACCTCCCAAACAGTCCCGGTTTACTTTTGTATATACGCAACGACAATTCTGAAGCCATTCTCGCATCTCCATTCCATCGGCTCAAGACTCCCACGATACGTACAAGAAACTTCTTCCCTCGAACTACTAACGTATTCTCCCCTTATCACCCTTCTAACTTTTGCATTCGCATCCACATTTTCCCGCCCATCATCTTCTCGGCGAGGATACAAAAAAGATCTCACATCTTCACCCCACCAAGTATTACACCATTCCCATACATCCCCATCATATCGAAACGTTCAAATGCAGAAACATTCTCAGGAAATAAACCGACGGTACATCGGTCGTCTAATAGTAAGTCTTTACAATTAACATAACTTGCATTCAATTCTGCGCCTCATGGATACATTGATTCTTTTTCCTTGTCAGAACTCTGAGACCCATGAGCAGCAATCTCCCATTCAGGCTCAGTGGGTAATCGCACTTCCTCATCGAGATTAATCTTCCCAGATGCTCGCCAGCGTATTGTCAACCAGGTACAATACGCACGCGCATCTTATCAGGTAAGATCTGTAGCTGGGAAGGTTTCTGTAGAAGGGGATACACCATCTGGACTATTCCATTTCCGTCCTGTTTCATGGATAAACATCGCATAGTCTCGAACCAGAACTGGGAAAACATCGATACGGTACGAGGAAATGGTGATAGAATGGGCAGGTGATGAATTCGGATGGGTGGAAGAACCGAATGTGAATATGTTGGAAGGAGTGGTAGTGAAGGACATAAGTCTCGAGGATCTCCAAGTTGGGAAAGTGTAAGGCCGACTTTTAATCTTTGAGTAATGGGTAATGTGCCTTCTTTGAAAATCGCTAGTATGTGATTGGAAACTTGCCTCTGCAGTGGACTAGACGAAGAGATGAAATCTGAAGCTAATAGCGCGCCTAGTTGTGTATTTACTCCAGACCCTGCAACCAGCCCTTCAAGTAGCTCCGGACATCTCATATCTCTAAGACGAACTAACCAACTCCGAATAATTGGTTCTGCCAAAGAGGGATTTTGATTAAAAAGATCAATAGCTAATTGTGTATCATCTTCAACAAGTTGTCGCGCAGCTAGTAAGTGTTGTATTGCCTTCGAGAACACCGCTGGAATTCTAATCTTCAACCTACACGAAAATGGGGTTCGAACCCCCTGCTCCGCTTCCTGAATTGAATGCTCCAATGCCTCTCGTGTGATTCTTCTATCATCATAATTCTCAGAAAGAACTACGTGGAGCCACTCATCCACTATCTCCTCTGCTTTTCCTCCATGACGAGCAATGTCTAACGCGAGTGCAACATAAGCAGGAAGATTTGCAGCGTCACCGATTCCAATCTCGATATCTTTGTATTTGATATTGAGGCCTGTAATATTATCAAACACATTATAACAATTACTAGATCCTATCGCAAGTTATATCTGTATTCGAAGTCGGACGATGTGATTTACGTATCGTGACAACGGCGCGTGACTAGTTGGAAGGACTCATAACCTATCGACTGAATAAGGCGAAGAACAATCTTACTATATCTCTAGGCTATGAAGACGGCCTAAAGCTCTATATAGCGGGGATATTTGGCTCTGGGATTGTCATTGTAAGCAACGGTGGAAGAGTGGGATTCAGCCTCACATAAGCCGAACTGGCTTGTGAGGCCACCAGTCGCTGTGATTGCGACATGAATGTTTGCAATATTCGGAGAAAAACATGTCGAAGCTAGTAATTTATAGTTTCAATGCACCAGATTTATATTTTTAAGTATAGAACAAAATAACCCTTCCTCCCATCATCTCATTTATATCACCGTAACCAAAATGCCGGTCACGCCAGACTTTAGCCCTTCAACTTCCCCCATCCATACTAATAGTATACTTAACGAGCTGGACAAGAAGCTGTATATCGTACTAATATCTACCGACCCCGCGAAAAATTAATAGCTGCATTACCTATCGTCGAATCCCGATGATCGGAGAGAGGATTTCGGGGGCTGATCAACTAGTGGAACTGCCGGAGCAATCTTACAAGCGTGGACTGCCCCTTGTTGGTGTGCATGATGACCATTCGAGTCGTATCATATTCAGACATATTCAGAAGATGCTAAAATCAATGGAGATCTCAGACCAATGGTAGCACGCTAACCAATGGCATCAAACAAAACAATTCTGACTTCAGAAGTCATCTCATCGCGAAGCATCAAACGAATATTTCATCAATCACTTTAGTCTTCACGTGGAAGTGGGAATATTGTTGTGATAACAATTCATTAATGTCGTGATGAGCTATAACCCAGCCCATTCCATATCATTCCTTCCCAAATCCCATCCAATAATAACCATGGTATAATATCAATCAGCCCTAGCCTCCCATCATGCATCATGAACATCGTAATCTAGTTGGAGAACTTGGGGTTGACTTGGGATCTGCATTCGGGGTAGTGTTAGTAAGATCCCTAGCATATGGAAGGGGGTGCAATAATAGGGGAGATAAAAAAACGTACCCAGTCTGCTTCTCATACAATCCTCTGGCACCGTCGGTGATCTTCTCATTCTGATCGCGGGTCATAGTGTGGCCGGTCTTCTTCTCGATGAAGTCGAGAGCTGAGTATGTTGTTAGCACAACATTGCCAGATTATCGATTGTACACTGCAAACTGCCAAGGACGTCGAAAGTATGAAGAAAGATGGGGGGAAAGAGGAGTAGACAAACCCTTATCACCAAAATCCTCCTTTCCGGCACCACCGGCAGCTTGGTTAGTGTTACCGGTGCTTCCTGATCCACTCTTGAGGGCACCTTTGACGAAATCCATTGTGATGAAGTTGATTTGAGTGTTTGGTTGTTTGGTTGTTTGAAAAGCTGTGTAGTTGCTTGAGTATTGGTCGAGTATGAAATTGTGGTTAGTGTTGAGGAAGAGCAGTTGATCCAAGTTGTAAATGAGGGGAGTTATATACCCTTCCGTATACAAGTACCAAAAACGCCATCGTTTACTAATCCATTAACGGCTTATGTGCCTTGATTCTTTCCGTTCTTTGAACTGAAGCTTGGTTTCGCCGGGTTGTCGTCGCTGAGCATATTCACGAATCCGGTTTAGAGGGGTAACTTGGGGCTGGAGGAACGTTCTGGTTGGGTCATTTTCATAATTAAGGGATAATTAACCTTATGCTTGTGGGGTGAAAAGTAATGACGTACACCAAGACATTACCCCCATCCAGGGGACAAGACTTCGGCACGTTCCTGATTAATAAGCCATGTTCTTTACGAGGTCGAGAGTTCAAGCATGAATTATGACTTGTAGAAATCGGAACTTCATCTCAAATTAATCGTACTTTCAATAAAACGTTTAGAATATATATATATATTTCTGGTCGAAGTGATGACTTGAGTGCTTCTTTCTTCTCCGGCTGGATCACCACTCCCTTGTAAAAAGAGATCGTCTATAATATTTGTCACTCAAAGAGAGAGTTGGCGAAATTATACTTGGAATTATTGCAACGGTGGATTCCGGACTAAATCTTAGAGCAAATGTCAGATCTGCTGTCTCTAGCTACATCAACACCTGAGGGTTGATGGCAGAATCATGAGAAGCAGCCCTTTTGACTTATCTGATGTTCAGCCGCCTTCCTAGCTGACGAATTTTCTGCTTCAAAGACCTCGAATTTGCTACTTTAGGCACTGTAGACTCAACCCGAGCTACATTTGACGCAGTAGACACATATTGCAACACTTGAAGCCGATCTTCAATTTGTCTACATCGTTTCGAGGAAGACCCTTGGATAGCTGTGTATCTAGACATCGCTCGCTTATACATCGCCCTTACTGTGTCTGTCCGGTCAGTTTTTGAGAAGCGGTCTCCTAATTCGAGCATAGTATTCAACGCTGGTAGATAAGACGAGGCAAGTTCAAGGCTAAGAGCGTCTTCGTAGTCTTCTAGTGCTCGACGATATATTATCTCTGTCTTTTCTAGCTTACCTTAATTGAAGTAAAGCTTGCCTAAATTGTTGATTATATTAAGTGTTGATACATAATTTGGTCCAAGTGCTTTCTCCTTGCCTTCCCATGCTTGAAGATATATCATCTCATCCTCTAGCCGTCTGGATGCCTTGCCCCTTGTCTCGCCGTAATTTGGTACCATAGACACATCGAAGATCCCTATTAAGCAATAGGCTTGATCTTCTTCCAAAATGGTATTACAATGCTCTGCCTAGTATCTCCACTCTTCGATGCTAAAATTTGATGATATATGACCTTGGAGAGCTCTCTTTGCGATACCGGTTATTTTGTGTATCTCAGACTCAAGCGAAAACTTGCTCCCTATTCGTTTATCCTCTGAGCTGAAGAATTCTACTAGTCTTGGTGTAATAAGCTTCTGAAGCATTTATCCTCGAGTAAACCAACGACTCTTCTTCAAAGCTCCTCTTCATACTATCTAATCATCTACTCTAGTATCAAGCTTAGAGATATTGGAAAGGTAGATATAACAGCATGTCGCGTTCTGGTATTATCGAAATATAGAGTTTATCACCACACTAAGCTCGACCATATTCTTTTTATCAATGCAGCAGGTGTCGATCCAGAAGTATTTCAGCCCGTCTACTGCGGCTTGCTTCGCACAGAACTGTAACTTCTTCCATCCAGCTTTACCCACAGCCTTGCTCTTGTTTTTGCTTTTCTTCAAGTCTTGATAGAAAACCTCCTCTTCTTCCCAGGTATGAGAGAGTATTGCGTAGGCAGGTACATTGCCGCTGGTGGGTTCGTAAAAGACTATCTCGTCATTAGGTTTATGTTACAAGAGGTATAAGAGACATGCTGAAGGTTCGCAAACGATGCATAGAAAGAAAACTTGTATCACTGATTCGGCAAATTGACGCCAGCACTGCAATTTGAGAATCGGGACTTTGAATGTCGGAACTTCGAAGGACTGAGCATAAGAAGGAAATGCAGTCGCAGTCCCAAGCGCTGCTGACGAGGCTATATCGTGGCGCGACCTCCTGGTCAGCCACTCATATTGCGAAGGCAGACAGAACGCAAATGACACTTCATTTTATGGAAATCTTATTTGTTACAGACTGGACTCTGATTGAAATTGTCCTTTGTTGTTGACAAACCGGCTTCTATAGTGTCAAAAAGCAATAAGCTGCCATAGGTAGGGCTGAAGGGGACGAGTCAGTTATGAATTTAGTTATGAATTTAGTTATGAAGTTAGTTATGAAGTTAGTTATTAGTAAGAGGTATTGCTTTCAACCGGGCCTCTCTTGTTCCAGATGATTTCGGAAAGCGGGACTTCCCGGCAACTTCACATCCAGCCACAAACGTCGACTCGCAGACTTAGAATAGGGTCATGAGAATACGAAGTCTCTTATTAGCGATTATCAACTCAGCTATGCTTTTAGTATATCCTGAATACACTTCCTCAATGCAATACCTGTACCCCTCAAAAGCCAATGAATCTGTTATCACTACAATTGGCCAATCTACATGCCATTGATATTCCACTATAGAACTACCGCAATTGATTTTCAACCCATCCATTGATTGCTATCTATCATCATCGACCTGCCTGCTATCAATTCAACATTGCCCTTTATACCCAGTGATGGGCACAAGTTTGTCAGTCAATTTACGTCTCAGATTACATCCTCACAATGCATCATCTCCATCTTGCCTTATTAGCCGCATCATACGCGCGCTCATTGTGATTCGTCCACTCCTGTAAAACCCCTCTCCCAGAAAACATGTCTTCCTTCGAGACCTTTCGACCAGTAAATTCCACTGTTCCTGGATCTCCATCGTGTGTGCCCCAGACGCCGTTGACTATTTTACCGCTACGCGAGAATGTCATTGTGTGAGAACGTGAATCAGAGCCGAGTTGAATGATGTTCTGACAATCTTTGCCTCTCCATCGATAGAGTCTTGTATTATCCGCAGTCGATGGATCGAATTGCTGATTAAGAAGATATTCATTTCGATCGGCAGAGTTGCGTCCACGAGAAAATCTAATTATGCCCTTGAATTCCCCGAGGTTAAATCGGCCGAAGACTTGCTGACCCTGTGCGCGTGGTGCAGAGAAGATGTCAAGTGTGTATGGTTCTGATTGACCGTAGTTTGAAGACATAGTTTTGCATTCCAATTTCCAATGTCCGGTGATATCCCAGGGTCCATCGTCGAGTTCCTCATCGGAATCATCGGCATCGTCGTCGGACTCTTCAGGATTTTTATCTCTCTCGGCACCATCTCCCTCGGAGTCATCTTCTCCATCGTCATCTTCTCCATCGTCATCTTCTCCATCGTCATCTTCTCCATCGTCATCTTCTCCATCGTCATCTTCTCCATCGTCATCTTCCCCCTCGTCATTGTCTTCCACAGAGTCTTCATCACATTCTTCATCTTCTGCCTGATCACCCTCTTTCAGGTGTCGAGCCTGCTGAGCTTGATGCACTGGCTTCTCATTTTCACGATCCTTCTTGTGATAGGCGCTCATCATTTTGTGAATACCTAGTTTGACTATGGTATCCGGTTGAATGGCATTAGAATTAACCAGACGTTGCTTGAGAGCCTTGATATCGTTTCCTCTTGGTGAAAAGCCTCGAAATGCGAGTTGAGCCTTCCAGAACTCAACAGGTCTGTTACGATTGTCATCGCCAAGATATAGCTCCATGAACTGGTGTCCAAAACACGTAACGTCTTCGCCATCGTAGAGGTATTCGATGTTATTTATGGTTGTTCTAAGGACTTTCCGACCCTCTGGATCATGACTTGCCTCCATGTTGATTTGGGAGTGAGTGTCAAAATGCACACTGATGGTGCTCGAATTAATGTTTCCCGAGATTCTTAAAGAGTACAAGAGCGCGGGCGTCCTCAGATTCTCAGAGATTTTATGTGTTTAGCTACTATGCTGGTTCGATAGATTTTGTGAATACCCTTATTCACCGTTAACGAAGTGAACTACCTAGTAAAGTATAATGGTTCATGTTTTATCAGGGCGATGTAGTGCTTTCCACCACGAGATCAGACAAGGAATTGAGGTCGAAAGCCCTTCTAAAGAGAGTGAATTACTTGATTTGAGAATATCTTCAAGGTTCCCCTCCGAGTTTGGAGATTCTTCTGGTCCTCGTGCCAGCACCAGTGCTTCCATTTCCTTGAATGGGTGGCTTTAAGGTAGAAAGCTCGACATCCATGTCCGTTATATGCTTTGAACGATGAAATAATTCTCGCGCTCCTTTAATCCTTTCTCGCAATCCTTTAAGTATAAAGGAAAGACATAGTAGTCAGAATAAAGCATCTTCAATTATTCTTTGGATGGGAATATTCGATGTGCTTTTTGCTTTGGATTGATATCTTGTAGCCGAAAAGAATAGTACAGTAGCCAACACATGATCTTGGCGCTAAACCTCAATGGACCCCTCATTGATGTGAAAAGCATAAACAGAATACCATAACCACCTTGAAACCTTCTCGCCATGTTGAGTGAGGAATGCTATATATGAGGAGAGTTTAGGACTCTCGTTTCTCATCGTGAATGACAATCAATCATCTGAATCATGATCCTCTTGGAACTCTCGGACCCCATTTTTGAGTCAAACCAAGTCATCGCTATGGAATCCATCTTATAGCCAAATTCAATCACAATCAAATGCGTACCGATCAACATCACCACAATGTCAATGTCACCATGCCATGACATCCGAATCATCGAAAGCGTCAGACTTATTACTCGTTTCCGTGTTACTCCGAACGTTTCTTTACACCTTTACAAATATTTTCCTCATTGGTGCCCCTAATCTTTTCGATTTATCATGGGATCTGTCTCATCTCGTGTATATTATCACTTAGGGGAAACTGTGGACAGGAACTTCCTCTAAGTGTTAGACGCGATTGTGAGCTCGCGAATACCTGCGCTTAGGGGTCAAATTGGGAAAATTTAGGTGAGAGAAGTGTTAGAGAGTCCTGTAAGCTAATCTTGGAGGAGCCACCAATTACTTTATGAAAAAAGGTAGAAGCGGTTGGAGAGAAATTCCTTTTTCTACAAATACCTCAACATTTCCTTTTCTCTTTCCGTTCTCTTTCTCCTTCATTTTAAATTCCATCTCTCAATTCACTCCCAAAAAGTGGTTAATACACATCTACCCCAAAAAGGCCCTATCACTACCTCCTCCACCACTAACACACCCTGCTATCGATAACTATCAAGCAATTAAAACGACTAATACGTACAAAACTAAACCAACAATAACCTCATCTTATTACACATTACAACAAATTCTGTCAAAATGACTACCACATCAATGGTTCAACCAAAGTTCTTATCAAAGGCTGATCAACTTGGTGTCGTTGCTGTTGGATTCTCAGGTGGACAAGTAAGTTGCCCTTCCCTCTCTATTCAACACCCTCTCAGAGTGCCCAACTAATCCAATCAACACAGTGTAAACCAGGAGTTGATGCCGCACCTTCAGCACTCATCAAAAGTGGTCTTCTGGATCAACTCGAAGAGGAATTAGGATACAAACTTCACCATGATAACACGGTCCATTCTTACAAGGAATTAATCCCTTCTGAGGATCCAGATCACCGAAACATGAAGAACCCTCGCGGAGTCTCTGCAGTCACACAAAAGCTTTCGGAACAAGTTTACGAACATGCCAAGGAGGGTCGTTGTGTCTTGACTCTCGGTGGTGATCATTCTATTGCCATTGGTTCAGTATCAGGAACTGCAAAAGCAATCCGTGAACGTTTAGGAAGAGAAATGGCATTGATCTGGGTTGATGCACATGCCGATATCAATACCCCAGAAACTTCGGGGTCTGGAAATGTTCACGGTATGCCCGTTGCATTCTTAACACGTCTCGCACAAGAAGAGAAGCCAGAGATCTTTGGATGGTTAAAGGATGAACATATGGTCAGCGTAAAGAAGATTGTTTACATCGGTTTGAGAGATGTTGATAGAGGAGAGAAGAAGATCCTCCGTGATAATGGAATCAAGGCATTCAGTATGCATGACATCGATAGGTTTGTGTTCCCGTCGCACTGATTTACTCTGTACGCGTTCACTAACATTCTATCGCAGACATGGTATTGGCAGAGTTATGGAAATGGCACTTGGCCATATCGGTAACGATACCCCAATCCATCTTTCCTTCGATGTCGACGCTCTTGATCCTACATACGCTCCTTCAACTGGTACACCTGTTCGTGGAGGTTTGACCTTGCGAGAAGGTGATTACATTGCCGAGTGCGTTCACGAGACTGGTTCTTTGATCGCTATGGATTTGGTAGAAGTCAACCCTACACTTGAACCTGGTGTCAATGATATTGGAGCACACGAAACTGTTAGAGCTGGATGCTCTTTGGTTAGATGTGCTTTGGGTGAGAGCTTGCTATAAGTTGGTGTTTCGGATACTGGGAATAGATACCTGAAGAGACATTTGAAAGAATATACCCTTAGATCGAGATCGGCTATTTATACATTTGGCATTAGATTCCTTGGGTGGCCCTGAGATAATGGGACTTGATCTTTCATTTACGGTTATACTTCGCAACTCAGAAGGATAGAGGGGCAGGTGGATCACTTTTCTTTCACATGCTTCTGAAGTCAAGATAGATGTATAAATCATTGACGAAATCAATACAAAAACATTTCAAAATCTCCCCGCTCTCCAGAAGTCCACCGCCGATGATACAAGTCATTGTCGTCACCGATACAACCGTTTCTAAAAATATAATCAGTTCTCCGATGTTCAAGTCCCGAATCTCCAATATTTTCCATACCGAGTACCCAAGTATTACCAGCCTCATAATTATTTTTTATAGGCTTTAGTGATGCGCTGTGCCTTGCACTCCATCCCAGCTCCCCAACCCCCCGCCAACACTGAGCGCCCAATTATATTGTTCACACTGTGAAAATGGGTGGGTGATGTATTAATGCGCGTCGGTACTCTAGTCTTTTCTTCTTTTTCTGAGCTTGTTCCTTCCTACATTTCTCTATCATACACACTTCGAACGTTATCGTCTAAAGTTTCGCGACGATATCATATTGTTCCCCGCGATCAATCAATCAATCAATCAATCACACTATCTCGGTACCAGCAAATAAAGTAAGACAGGCTCGACAGGTACCAACGGAAGATTTCTGAGCTGCACGTCCCCTTGGTTCGTGTACCTTGTGATAAGTTGCACGGATTTTCGAGTCTGAGTGGAACATAAACCGAATAAGGTGAACGACAACACAACATTTATTCACCGGTATTATAACATACGAGGAAGATTGACGTGGACGAGCTTGGACGAGTTATCGTACGAGATTTGTTCTCGAGACTGAGATTGGGTGCAGATATTTCTTTCGTAAAAGGGAAAGGAAGGGATATAAATAGGAAAGAGTTTTGGAATCGCAAGTTTTGGATAGCAGTCGAGAACGAAAACAAGGAAGTTTTTGGAGAAGATACAATTGCGACTTCAAACTTGTGGAATTGGGTTCGCATAACTTTTGGAAATCAACTAGACGATAATCGAAGTACGAATAGAAGATTACACAAAAGAGCTAGGAAGTAGAAGAACTCGATTCAGCATAACTATCTTCAATACCACCAATACTACCACATAAACACCGCCAAAATGGTCTCAACACTCTCCTCCTCTTCAGGCGGCATCCGCGAACGCTCCACTGTCCTCCTCACCCGCACTCGCACGAAATACCGCTGGCCCCCTCTCCAGTTGAACTTCTGGATCCTCATGATGTTAATCGCTTCCTCCACCATCCTCGGTATCTCGGCCTACTTTCTCTCTGTCCAAAATCAGCTCCATCTCCGCGTACCCTGGTATTTTCCCTACTGGATCGTCTCTGCTTCTCTCGGCGTCGTCTTCCTGCTTATCATGCTCTGGCTCATCTCGCAGCGTCAATTGCTTCCTGGTATTGTTATTTTGGGCACTTTTATACTCTTCGTATTGTGGCTAGTAGGATTGATTGTGTGGAGTATCGAACTCTGGGGTCCCACGGGAAGCGTCAATGGAAACTGCAATTTGTACGTTACGGCGAATCCACAGAGTGGCCCGTACTCGTCGACACTGGCGTGGTTGATGCAGCATTCGATTTGTCAGAGCTGGGTTGCGGCGTGGGCGTTCATGTTGATTGGCGTGGTCTTTTTGTTCTGGATGATGATTATGAGTTATCAGGTTTATAGGATGGATGATTAGGGGAAGCTGGGAAAGAGTGCGGAATGAGAAGATTGGTTTGTGATGATATTATGAGGTGGGATTAGGATGGGGAATTGGTTGGGGAAAATCGGGTATTGGGAACACATTTGTAGAACGGATCTACGAATGAGGGTTATTATACGACAAAAGGTACTAGTAGGTACATGCTAGATGGATGAGTTACGAGTGATGCAAGGATAAGGCGTTTCGGGAAAATGGGAGGAAGGTATCCTATTATTATCAAATCCCACATTTTTCATTTTTATATGTAATGTACAAGTTGTGCATATGAGCTCAATAGGTGAAGCGAAATCATCTCAATAGGAGAAGTGGCAGCTTTGTTGTAGATCTCCTCGGCTAATTATGGTTTACATTGAAATTCTTGTTCCATGTATTGAATAATGGTTGTGTTATTCTATAAAGAAGGTGTTTGTCATTCTCTAGAGAACCAAAATCTCATGTCGTTTTGGGGCAAGTTAATGAATGCTAGTTTATGTTTACATACGAGACTACTGAAACACTATTGCATGCACGCTTTTTATCTACTCTACGCCGAGTCTAATTCATACCTATGACCATCGATCAAGATATAATATTCCAATCTTTCGATATGCTGGTCTTGGGGTTGTTTGACCATGAGGTGGTCCTGAGGTTGGTGGGGAGGTAAAGTCATGAATTAGACGGAGTGCTTCTAGAAGTGGTATGCGATACACGAGCAAGAAGATACGCAAAATCATCATCGGAGAATTTTGCCATGATGATAATTAAGCTTACTGCACTTTCGGATGAGTACCCCCGATTGAAAGCAGTTTCTCGAAAAGTTAAGCAGTAGGTGAGCGGAACAAGAGAGAGATAATTCTGTGTCTATCTTGCAAAAATGTGCAGAGATTTGAGGAAGGAGAGAGTAGTATCATGATGTTGCAATAAATGATTGGAGGCACCCTTCCATGGAACAGGAGTCAGGGAACAAGGCCAGCAGTAAAATATTTGTTTCAATTGACGTTAACAAGGCAAAGGAGTCCACAGTAACCGCGAGTTCAGTATTTGCCAGGAACTGTCATAGCCAAACGATCCAATACATATTTCCCCGCCGTAATCGGAGGATATTTGGAAGGGTTTTCCTCACTTACACAAGACGGTAACGTCTCAACAGTCTCATCATAATTAATCGAGAAAAATAGGGGTACCGAGTGTCGAGTCTTGGCCGTCCTGTTAACGACCCTATGAATCGTACTTCTATAAAGTCCATTTGTCCATCGCATCAAGAAATCTCCAACATTGACTACGATTCCTCCTTCGATGGGTTCGGAAGCAACCCATTTTCCGTCTGGACTCAGGACCTCTAGACCGGGAGTTGAGTCTTGGAGGAGGAGAGTGAAACATTCGTAGTCTGAGTGAGCACCAAGACCAATCTCTTCTTCTTCGTTCGTGTTAGAAAGAGGTTTGGGGTTTGAACTTGGTTTGTACTTTATCAGACGTGCAATTCCTCCAGGATGTGTAACCAGTGGGTCAAAGTAATCTTCTGGGAGAGACAGAGATAAGGCGAATAGACGGAATAGATGTTTGCACAATTCCAAGACCTGTGGAACAAAATCAGACACATGAAAACAAATCTTCGACAAGTCAGCGTACCCTTCCGTAATAGTCTGCAATGCCTTGATAGAAACCCGGAATTTCAGCTTCGTTAGGCCATTGATTTTTACCCCCAGCAGTTGTACCATCAAGCTCGACATATTTTCCATCCCCACCTGTAGGATCCAAACCATACTCATAACCCCAATTGAAAGCCTCTTTTGTTTCTTTAGTTTGAAAATCATTTACAGATGAGTAACTAGCCGGTTCATATCCTCTAAATTGATCTGAATTCTTCATGTGAATTGCATCTTTCGAGGACTGAGGTAGTTCACTAAAGAAGCGTTCGCAAAGCTTGAATACTTCATCGCAAACATGCTGTGGTATTCCATGACCTGTGATGTAGAAAAAGCCAACATTCACACATGCTTCGTTGATTTTCTTCGCAACCTCTTGCCGGTCGGCTAAAGATGATGAGAATGAAGGGGTTAGATCGACAATTGGAAGTGATCGAAATGAAGAAGGACCAGAGGTATTCGCAAGACGAGATTGAAGATAATCTTGTATTTCCCGCGCAGCACGACGTGTATTTTCGGTTGCAATATCTGCCGTTTGTACAGTAGTTGCAGCCATAATATTGTGAATTCAATTCTCGCGATGGTTGATGTGGTCGGTGATGGGTTGCGAATAGTATTTCTATGATGACAAAGGTGGGGTAGATTATTATCGTATCCTTATCGAGAAGGTCATGCAGGTGCAGGTTGTGACAAACAGGAACTGAGCGACGGCAGGCACCGCTGCTTAGATATTGAGGATGTTCATGGTAACTTCAGTCGCCAGATCAGATCTGGAATGCAAAATAGCGACATTTATAAGACTTGATATCTAGCAACTAAGGAAAAAAATGTTTGTTGACGGAGCATCAGATTTCATCAATCGATTCGGCGAGGACGAAGACAATGTTGATTTATGATATTGAAGACAGATAGAGCTGGTGGAGCTAAGATCTCGGTAGGACTGGTGGACAAGCAATTAGAAGTTCTTTAGCCAGGGGTTTCATCATTATTATTATTAGCATCATTATGGCACTGGAGACCACTAGCTAATAACGTCAACCAACGCGAACGTGCTGACCTAAACTTAGATATAAATTCAAAGACTCCCCAACACCCATCCAATGCAGAAGACATACACACATTTCGTGCCAAGGCCATTACTCTCTCGAAGTTTACGGATCTTGAAGACCAGAATTTCAGTCCTCATGTTCCCCCCATCTGAACCAGATATACCCACTCTCAAAACACAGTCAAGCTCAATATTAATCATGCAAAAGGAAGTTCCTTCGGTACCCCGTAATCGTCACAACTCGAGAACCTCCACGCTCCCTTCAACTTCGGAACATATATCCACCTAAAAATCAATCCCACAAACCAGGGAAAGGGAGGGAACCTCGGTCCATGAATACCAGACTCATAAGTCACATCCGAGTTTGTGATCAAGAACGGGACATCTCTCGTCTATTGATGCATTAGTTGAGTTTAGAATTGATGACCGAAGTCGAGGAGCCATACTTTATCAGCACTTTTCTTCGAATGTTGAGCCATCGCCTTTCCACATTCTTCCCAATTAATTAATTCATCCTTTTCCAGATCTACTAGGACGCCAATTTCGTGATGTAAATGACTCTCCAAATCAGGTCCAAAAGCATCAATCAATTCCCTCAATTTGTATCCATCAAAGGGTTTCGCATCATCTTTCACTCCCGAAACATAAAGATCGAAAGCAAACAAGCCCGGAAGAAATTTCTCATGCTCATTATGGTTATTAATGAAAACATCATTTCTAGAACTTTGCTCATCGAGTAATCTGAAATAGATATTCTCTTCTGCGGCATGGTGGGAATGCAGAATGCAAGACCATGCATCGCAGAATTTCATAAAATCTGCTATGTCCACGGTCTCTTTCACATTGGGCGCTTGGATATAAATGCAATTCAGACCTCTAAGAAGAATATTGTGAAGTAAGGCCATTTCTGATGCATTGCGGGATGCTAAAGATTCGGGTTTGCCCTGTTGTTATGTGAGTTCTAAATATCGCCATCAAGCTTATTGGGTGCACATACATCTAACGATCCTCTCGGAGTTGCGAGTAGCTTGAAAGGGCTATCTGCCCATTTTTTCGTAAACTCCATTGCGAATATGAAGAAGATGATATTTTCGAGATAATATGAGTTCTTTTCAATTGTATAAATACACGGTTCCCCGCATTGTCATGCCATCTCAGTCAATTTCGGTTGGCTTATCAGTCTTCCACATACCAGCTGATTTGTGGCGTGATGCAACCGAACAAAATCATATGGTTGCAACAGCTTTGCAAAATTGCACTGGCTATCTTCAATTTGACTCCTCTACATGAAGAGGTGACTTGTTTGTCTGCCTTTGGGTTGTTGAAATTTCAGCGACTGTTGTGAATGATATGGCGGGTAGTGACTTCTGGACTTTCCATCATCTCCTGTTTCTTGAGCGATTCACGCTTTTTCATGGTAACATATAAGCGGGCAGGCACTGGAAGAGGAATATCATGATATTATCCATAAAGTGATCTGCAAACTGGTCAATGCTAAACGAGTTTTTATGAAGAGTGTTTCATTTCTGTCATTGACCAGCCATTTCGACGTCATGATTTGCAAGTCAGAGCACGTTAGATGTTGGAATTTTCCTCCAGAATTGAGGTCGCAGTTATGAATTGAAGTTGTGGAATTGTGCCAGGTGAAGTTGACAACTACCACCTGTAAGATACGTAGGCTGAGGGGATGTGGTAGACAAACAAACCCTTTAATTATGCCAGCACCATCTACCCTCTCTGCATGAGTATTCAAGTGATCACTAAAAAGCCGGGCATAGATTCTTTGGTTGGGTTTTTACTTCAATTATTGGTAACAAAATCGTGTATTCTTGTCAGTAGGGAGGAACGTATGGTTTCAAATTATCAAACTGGATGTCCCTGGTGCTCCTAATTTCAGATTTATTGCTTCTTTGCATATGCCAACGGTCCACCATAATTGTCTGCATTCTAGACATGGTACCTAGCAACACTAAGATTTGATGCCAAAGACACAACGAAATAGCCCTATGGATATTCTGAGATGTTTTTTGAATTCTGAATAACACTATACTCACGGGCCGTCGAGAATATCCTCATCTGGACTGTCTGGATCATGTACCATACTGCCGCTCTTAGTCATTAATTCGAATCGACTAGGGCGGAATGGCCACTTCATCCATGCCTCCATAATCTCCTTTAACATTTCCGTTGTCAGGGATCTTACAGACAAATGCTTCAAATCAAATGCTCCCCCTTTTGAAGGATCTGTTAACGAGGGACATTCGCCTGCTATGTGTTCTAGGGCACCGGGCCATAATCCTTCCAAAGACTCATAGACCGTGTCAATTGGATGTGCGTACATATTACCAATTATGTATTCGAATACATCATAGTTCTCGGGATAATTTTGACGAAGAATAGGCCAAAGAGCTTGTGGCTGAATATCCAAAAGACACAACTCAGAAGCAGGTCTGAATTCTTTTGAATATACTTTGAGAGGTTCCATCGGTCTCTTCTCAAATTCTGTACCAATGCGCGCACCGTCGAGTCTGATACCATAGATCTTTTGGGCAGCAAGAGGCAGTTGGGCAATCTTGTCTTCATACGTCTTGATCATTGTGTCCAATTTATTTCTTGAACTCGCCGTGTCCTTGGACTTCGAATCCGCGTCTAAGATCTTGCTATGAAGCTGATTGATGTTATAGTAGTCATTGATAAGATCCTGTGTCAGCTCTCCATGTTGGTTGATCACTTTCTTCTTCGCTTTCAGGAAGATATAACGTGCATATTCTTCGGTGTAGTATCTTTTCTCCTTCTTTCGTTTGTCCTTTTCAACGGTTTCGACCTTCTCACCTTCTGACACTTTGAATTTAATCAATTTCCCTTCATTCAATCGCTTCTGGAGATCCCCAAATTCATCGAACCAGCCTCTTTTGAAGCGATTGAAATCTTCGCTCTCTACTTTGTGTCCACCTGTAGCAAGTGACTGCCTGGCTTTGAACTCCATTGGGCCTTGCCTATGTTTTGGTGTCGTTATGCCCATTTCATCCATCTTACTGACAACATCTATGGAATTCGCTAATGCAACCTCGGCGTCTCTTACAAATCGGTGGTTGTCTACAGTTGAACTTGCAATCTCATGAATATATTCTGTAGTTATTCGGGCTTCCACAGCATTTTTGCGCATCTGAGCGACATGACGTACCAGCCATGACGTTTTTTCTACGTCCGGTATCCATACAAGCATTCTTATGAGACCATATTGATGGAATAATGCGTGCGATCTTGCTGCGGAAAGAAGTTGATACAGGACTAGTTGTGATATGGACTCAAACCCGCGGTACTTCTTTCTGGGGTAGTGGGCAAGATTCGCAATCACGAGAAGGGTATTGTTTGGTTTGTTGATCTTTGGATCATCTCGCGAAAGTGTTTCCTGATGAGGTAAGAATTCCGGAGTAGTAACTTGACCAAGATGTTCCCAGACCGTTCCTGATTTTGGTATGTGTTGATAAGTAGAATCTTTTGCATCAAGAAGAGGTTGGAGAAAAGGACAATACTTCTTGGCATCAGGTTCCATAAGGAGATGCGTTCGAGGTTTGAGAATATTATGGATTTTGTGCGACCATATGCCAATGCCTGGATTTATGTCGATGACGTCGCAGCCAACATGTTTTAAAAGCGATGGTTTCAAACGATCCAAGATATCATCTGGACCAGGTTACTAAACGATGTTTCCGTAGCGAAAAAGAACTAGTGCTTACCACACAGTGCTCCGTTCATGATATTCGAGCGTGTTCTATCCCCCATGGTTGAACCTTTCATATGAGCATCTCTCATGTATTTCCTCAGGTCCAAGGGAATCTTTATGAACTCGCTTTCGTCTACTATATTTACTATAGGCTCTTCTTCCTATTTGTCGGTCAGGGACTTCTCATTTCTATTTCGGTTCATTTGGTTCCTTACCGGTTCTGGTTCTTGTTCTGCTTCCAATACTGGTGCAGGTTTCGCTTCGGGAACTGGTTCGGATTCTGATGTCACCTCCACCTCTTTCACTTTTTTGGGCCGGCCTCTTTTGCGCTTTACTGGCTCAGCTACTGAATCGTCCTTGCCATCAACCTTTTTATCTTCCGCGGATTTCCTAGGTCTTCGCTTCACTGGTCCCACTGCTAAAGCATCCTCTGCCGTGATGTCCTCCGAGGTCACAGCCTTCCGGCGGGTTCGCTTGACCGGAGGATCCACATCGATAGGTGTGATGAGTTCTGAAGACTTAGAATCTCCAGGTACATGATAACACGGTGAAAAATGAAATTCGCGAAGGCGCGAATGTTGTAAAATGGTCGGATATTGAAGTAGATTGGTCCTACCCAAACGTGGAAATACCCGCAACATCAATGTCGATGGTCAGTTTGATGGCAATTGAGAAGAATGAGCGTTGGAAAGCTTGTGATTCAGGATACCGTTGAATCATACAATGTTCATATGCGATTCTGGAGTACTAGTTTGTGGTATCGTCAATTTACTCGTAACCTTAGATGAGGCAACAAAAAAAGTTTCATGAATGACTTGGTGAGGCTGAAGAAATCTACGAGGCTATCACAGGTAATTGATCACTGCTATTGGTTGATATCGTATTGATGTAGTTAGTGTGTGGCTTAGGTGTGGCTGTCGTCTGCAAGGCTGTAACTCTCTTTTGAAACAGCCTCTCACACCCATCAGATTTACCGTACACATCTTTTACATTGGGCACCTTGAGATCTATAACATACCCACACCAACCCTATGACAAAGAGTGACGCCCAAATTCATCATTTTTCAAGACAGACGTAACACATCCGACAAGGCAACCAAAATAAATGAAAGTCTATTATATTACTTCCCTATGCAATTTACTTGTTTACAAATACCCATGATTTAGTTGAACAGATTCCCCTTTGCTTAACGTTATCTCTATTCAACTCCCTTATGTCCAACGTCTTCGTTCATTCATTTCATTCATAGGCACAATTCACAAATCATGGCGGGGTCAACGTTGCAGTTCTCGAAGCCCATGAGCATCAAAGAAATCTCCGCAAAGGCCTCAGACTTTGAGTTTAATCCTACTATCGCATTGAAATATTGGTTGAGAACAGCCGATACACTTCTAAGAGAGGTAGATAGAATGCTCAATTACTTGAGTGGTATGGAATGCTGACTTCATAGGCTTATATTTATCAAGCCGAGGACAACGATCAACAAGCTTACCTTTTGTTTATGCGATATGCTGCCCTAGTTGCAGAAAAGTTGCCCGGTCATCCATCTGCAAAAGCTCTGGAAAACAGAAGTGCTCTCAGAGCTGCCCAGAAAACCCTCCCAGATGTTTTGGACGGATTAGAGAGACTGAAGCCTAGGATAAATGCGCGCTACGATAACTGGCAGAAGGCTTTGGAAAGAAGGAAAGAAATTCATGCAGCGCGAGAACATGATACGTCGCGACCATCGTCTCGGGCAGACTTGGCGGCTTCTGACCCTGCGATAGCTGGAAATACAACTACATTAGGCGCCGCGGAGAATAGCGACCTGGCCGTAAAGTTGGCGCATAAGGAGTTTAGAAGAAGAGATGCTGCACGACGTGGTACAAGACAAGCGGGGGTGAGTGAGGAAGAGGAGCAAGAAAGACGGACTGCAGGGCTATGGGATGACTGGGAATCAGCATTGTCTAAATCTGGTCGTAATGATGATGACGATGTTATACGCCGAAATATGGAAGCTTCAAGGAGGAGGCTAGATGGCTCACAGGATATTTCACCAGATGGGACGAAGAAGAAATCTGCGAGACCTGCACGATATGTCCAAACCAAGGCTAGGAATGGTAGTAGCGCATACCGCTATCCATCTATCTCTAAGTCTCAACCACTCGTTAGTGACTCGGGACCATTCCCGCCTCCCGGTCCTCTTCCTCCAAAGCCGCCCAAGGAAGAACTCGAGACATCGCATTTAGATACGCCCCCACCACGACCCGAAAAACAATCATCAAGCACTCACGAGCGTTCATCATCAGACGTCGTTGGTCAAGACCCAAAATTCACTTTTCGACCTTCGGCATATCTC